AAATATGGATATTTGATCCTGGAAAGATTTTCAAAGTGAAGGGTCAAAAAATCAAGCATTCCTATGGAAGTCCTAGGAATGAAAATGTGGCAAAGATAAACTATCATGATCCCAGTTTGAACGACTGAACACAATGATGGCGTCGTGCCGCGACGTTAACTAAGGCGCTTCTTGGGAGGCAACCCAAGCAAGGTACGTTTACTTGTTTTAGTTTATTTTTACACATTTCAAAAAAAAAAATGGACTGGGATTGGACCCGGACGGGTATAAACCCTAACCCGGTCGGGTTACTTCTAAAAACAAAACACCCGGGCAATCACCCGGGCGAGGAATGAGCAAAACAAGAATAAATTTTTCGCCCGACCGGGTAGACTTCCATACCCGGCCGGGCAAGCCAGCAAAAACCTTCTGCCTCGGGTGAACAGTTTACGCCCGACCGGGTACACTACCCCACCCGGCCGGGTATCTCGATTTTTGGAAACCAGGCCATTTCTCTAAAAAAAAAAAAAATCACCCCCCTTTGTCTTCCCTTTCGAACCACACCCCAAATTCCCTCCATTTCCAAAAGTCAAAAGCTTCATATCTTCTACATCCATCCACCAATTAAACTCATTTCATTCATCACCTCTTCACCCTTTTCATCTCCACACCCACGAATCACCAACAAAACCTCCCAAAAAGTATCCCAAAAAAAAAACATTCATCTTAGACACAAGCACTAGGGACAGTGCTTTGATTAGCTTGGGGGGAGAGTTTTATGAAATACTCACATTCATACTCTTTATTCTTGTAAAAAAAAAATATAAAAGCTTGTTAAGTTGAAAACCTGAAAGGGCAACTTAAGCAAAAATAAAGCAAAAATAAGAGTGAGTTGTGAGGATTAAACAGAAAAATGTGGGAAGCTGGGATGAAAACCCGAAAGGGCACCTAGGCAAAATGAGAGAACGAGAGAAAGTATTTTCTTTTATTTCTGCAGGATCCTAAGGGTAACGAAAAAAAAAAGGGTTGAGGTTGATAAAGAAATATGGAGTTGAAGACCCTCTTCACTATTATATTTTTGGGGATTTACTTTATGTGTTTCTAAAAACACTCGTGGATGTGTGTGTTGATATTCTTGTCACTTTAAGGACTTCTTGGATCGGATTTGATTTACTCGAGACGAGTAAAGGTTTAAGTGTGGGGGTGTTTGATGCACACTAATTAGTAGTGCATAATTGTATGTTTTTATGTTTCATTGATGATGATTGTTTGACGTTTTATTTAGTTTGTAAACATTTATGTGATTACAGTTGTAATTGTATTTTAGTCTTTATTTGTAAGTTGTAAAGTTTAGTTAGGATTTGTGGTGTTGGAAAGGAAGACTTTGAAGTGAAGAAAAAGAAGATTTGGCTGCCCTGGAGCAAATACCCGATCGGGTATAACACTTGACCCGGTCGGGTAAGAAGTGAAAAACGAAAATGCAAAGAAAGTGCATGGCCCGGTCGGGCCCACTACCTCACCCGGTCGGGTGAGAAGTGACCGGGGACAACCCGGTGTGCAAAGATCACCCGAACGTGAAGAATATCCAATTTTTGCACTCACCCGGTCGGGTCCCCTACCCCACCCGGTCGGGTCTGACTTGACCCAGACATTTTAACATGCCGAAGATCGCCAGAACGTGGAGGATATTTGATTTTGACATGGACCCGGTCGGGTGAGTACTTGACCCGGTCGGGTACCCGACCAAAGGTGTTGAAAAAACACCTATAAATAGCACACTTTTTCTTCACAAAAAATCATCCCTTCTTCCAATCTCTTTAGCTCAGTTTAGAATAGCATTTCTTTATATTTTTCTAGCTATGTTTAGTCTCCAAATGAGGAGCTAAACTTCCATTCTTGGTGTTGCTCTTGAAGCTTGTTGATTATTAAAGTTGTGAGTTATTTTCTTAACTTCTTTCATTGAATATTAATTAATAGTTCTTTCCTTAATATCATCTCTATATTAATGTTGGGGAGTGTTGCTAAGATGACAATTAGTTAACATCTCGACATTAGTTAGAATGGTATTTTCTTCCTCTATATTAATATTGAGGAGTGTTGCTAAGATGACAATTAGTTAACATCATGATATTAATTATAGTAGGATTCATCTTCATTAATAATATTCTTCCTTGAATATTAATTAATCCCTACTCTTATTTCATATTAATATTTTGAACATTACTTAAAGGATCAACTAGTTTTGTTTCATATATTAATTATTACTAGAAACGATCAACGAACCGATGGTTAATCGTTGATGGTTTCACAAGTAAGTAACTTCGGTTTATTAATGCACGGTCGTGGTTAATAAACTTAAGAGGGATTAATTTTGTTGGTTAAACCGAAACCGCTTGTGTTGAGGTTATCAATCTCAATTGATTTCATCAAGGAGTTAGAAAGATTAAATGCTACTATTAAATCGGTATAAGGCGTTGTTCTATATTTGATTAATAGTAAGGGTTATTAATGAACGGTCGTTGTTAATAACTACCCTCGATGAAGTGGATATACTCCCCGATTGAGTATTCGAGAGGGAATAAGTTATAGATATAACAATGATCGACTAAAATATATCAACAAGTGGAAAGTAGCAATGCCAAGTCCTTTTTATCTTTGAATTAAACACATATAGGTTGTTCATCTTAGTTCTTAATTAAATTAAATCACTCAATCCAAATCCCCCCTTTTATTTACTAAGTATCATAAAAAGAGAATTATTCCTTTCCCTGTGGATACGAACTCTACTACACTATACTACGTATAAGTGTTTGGTATTGAATTTATTTTGACGCACTCACGACAAGTGCTCGTCAACTTTAAAGGGAGGTTTGCATCAGATGGCGTCAAGGACAATCTTGGAATTAATACCTTTTGTCCCGCACTCACACCAGTCAAAATCTTCCCCTCCAAAACATGATTGACGAGCACTTTGTCACGGTGCGTCAAAATAAATTCAATACTAAACACTTATACGTAGTATAGCGTAGTAAAGTTTGTATCCACAGGGAAAGGAATGATTCTCTTTTTATGAAACTAGTAATTAAAAAGGGGGGTTTTGGTTTTGAATGATTTAATTTAATTAAGAAACTAAGATGAACAACCTATATGTGTTTAATTCAAGAATAAAAGGGACTTGGCTTTGCTACTTTCCACTTGTTGATATATTTTAGTTGATCCTTGTCATATCTATAACTTATCCCCTCTCGAATACTCAATCGAGGAGTATCTCCAATTCATCGAGGGTAGTTATTAACAACGACCGTTCATTAACAACCCTTACTATTAATCAACTATAGAACAACGCCGTATACCGATATAATAGTAGCATTCAATCTTTTAACTCCTTGATGAAATCAATTGAGATTGATAGCCTTAACACAACGGTCTCGGTTTAACCAACAAAATTGCTCTCTCTTAAGTTTATTAACCACGACCGTGCATTAATAAACCGAAGTTACTTACTTTATAAGATTGGCTCATAAGATTTATAAGCCGAAAAACATAATCACCAAACGAGCTCATACTATGTAACATTTAAATTTCAAAAAAAAAAATGTGAGCTTTTTAATGACGGTTACTACCTCCACCCATTTAAAGTTCCAAAACACTATTCACATGGTCAACTTAAATCATTCTTGATATTTTACTTTATATATCAATTTTTTTCAAATTTACATTTTTTATCAGGCTTTGTTTCGATTTTAACATAGTTTCTGAATATATAAATTTTATTTACTAAAAGTAATTAGAGTGTGAATAGGGATCAAGTTACTTTATCGTCAATCAAGCATCATCGTAAGCCGATAGGGAACCTTTATATGGGACAGAGGAATAGCTTTTAGTGATTGGAAAGATCTTAACAGAACAAAATGACAATTGTTTGATAAAAAAATGACTATTTGATTTAGTTATGTTTGATATACTAGCTGTTGTAACTAATTAATGCTAAAAATTGCTAGTACTATACGTTTACATTTGCACTACAAAAAAATTTATACTTAATTTTTTTCTCTCTAGAAAAGAATTGTGTGTTTAAACAATTATGAGCTCGTATAATTGTGAGCTTTTTAATATCATTTATGAGCTCAAAAAAAGCTCACAACTTTTAATAACGATTTTTTTTAACACTTTTAATAACGGTTATTAAAGATTGTGAGCTTTTTAATAACGGTTAGTGACGATTGTACAAATTCAAAAAAAAAGCTTACAATTATGAACTCATAAAAGCTCACAATTTTAATTGTGAGATTTTCAATTTAATAACCGTAATTAAAAAGCTCAAAAAACTATGAGCTTTTTAAAAATTGTGAGCTTTTTAATAATAACATTTAAATTTCAAAAAAACTGTGAGCTTTTAAATTGATCATTGTACGAGCTCATAATTGTGACAAACATACCTCTAGCTAGTATGTATAAATTTGCACTACAAAAGAATTATAAGATTTACATTGATTTGTTATGGATTTTTCGATGACTTGCTAAGGATGTTTATACTTGGACTGTCTCAAATCAAATCAGACCAGACTTGGATAGTTACAAAAATACAAAGAGACCAGACATTACCAGACCAGACCGGCAAATTACAGTTCAAATAAAAACATCCTAAATAGCTCGTGTCAAAGTGTTTTTGGCACGAATCGACATATCTATACCCAATTTTTTATGAATTTTGACTAATTTCTTCCAAAAAATCCGCCAGATCCCGTTTTTTTTTGTGGTAGTCGGTTTCGAACAAAAACTAAGATTAAAAAAAAATCCAAAATTACACAAATAGTGATAAAATAGGAGTAATTTTGGGGAATCAGCATCTCGTGTCTTCCAAACTTTCCAAGTTTTAAAACAAAATAGGAGTAATATACGGGAAGTATTAGGATACACCAATTTATAATTGCCTAGGAAATATTAGGATACGTACACCAATTGGAAAGCCGTTTATTAAACCCTACCTGCAGCGCAGCTTCCATTCGATCAAGAAAGTAGCCGGCCGCGCCTTTCTCATCTTCCTTCTCTGTGCTCTACGCTGAGCAAACATGGACGACTCAGCCGGAAAAGACCCACTGCAAATCCTCCCCGGAGAGATGAACCGCCATATATTTTCATGGTTGCCGGTTAAGTGCCTGTTCAGATGCATGTCCGTCAGCAAAGAATGGCAGGCCTTCGTTCATGAAATCAAGAACGCCCATGCCGGGAAACTGCAACTTCTCATCATCTCCTCCCGTCAAGATAACGGCGGCGAGGAGAGATTCATAGCGACGTCAATGAACCCCGATCTCAGCTTTCAATGGGTATCCTCGCCTCTATTCACCCTCGACGGTCATGACTACTTCAGATTCTTTGAAGGATTCCGACCAAAAATTCTGGACTCCTGCAATGAGCTTGTTCTTGTTTCGGCTGGGAAAAAGGTCCTCTTGTGGAATCCACTTACGAGGTGGTTTAGAGTTGTGTTCGGTCTTTATAATCATGAAGAGTACACTCTTAGAGACGGTTCTGTTGTTCTTGGTTCAATTTGTTACGATACCTCCATTAAAGACTACAAAATTGTCCTTCAACTTCGCTGTCTTACTGCGGATCGTCGTGGTTATACAAACCGCTGTGTGAGTTTTGCAAGCTTGAAAAGCAATGTGTGGAAAGATTTGGGGCCCCCTTCCCGCGGCGGAGTGCCGAGAAGCGGAGCGCACTCCGCGAGAAAAGGCGTCAACTTTCACAATACATTTCATTGGTCGGTATGCCACAACGTCCAGCCTCCGGTTAGGAATATCCCCGGAGGTCCCAATAATAAGATTGTTTATTTTGATCCCGTAAATGATGAGTTCAAAATATTACCCTCTCCCGAACCGTGTCACCGCGAAGAAGATGACTGGATAGTTGGTATGGGAGTTGTAAATGATTGCCTTTGCATGGCTCGTTTGGATGACAAGACAAAGATGGTTCAGGTTTTAGCTATGAAAGAATATGGGAATGGAGAGTCTTGGTTCAGAGCATTCGACGTCTCTTTGTCCAGATTTGGTTGTCAAGGTGATGATTTGTACAACTTCACTTTTTTCTCTCTAGAAAAGAATGGAAAAGTGTTGATGAATTACAATGATAGCAGAATCCTTGTCTATGATCCGGCCAGTGAAGATGTGCTTCGTGTTAGGGTTCTCTTACCTGATTCAGAGATTAATCATGGTATGTGCTTCTATGCACAAAGTTTTGCATCCCCATATGACCAACTTAAATTAGAGATCAAATAGATAGAGTACATTGTAGTCAGTATATTTAATTTGATGGTCAACGGATGCACCCTATATGCTTCTTTTGTTGCTTTTTTTAAGGTGTTGTTTATCTTTTTCTTTTTTAAAGATTAATTAATATTATCCTTCGTTCCGTTTTAATCGCACATGTTGATTTTACACTATTTACATGCTCTACTTTGACTACATGGGACGCTATTATTTTATGAAAATTATTTTTTTTGAAAATATTGTTCAATTCGATCATCTCATTACAAATTTTCAAAATCTGATTTTTAATAATTTTTACCAATAGAATTAAGATATAATTACGGTCAAAGACGTGTGTTGGCATATATGAAATGTTGACTGTTGCAACTAAAAAAGAACGGAGGGAGTAGCATTTTGACATGAACAAAAAAAATTGGAACGCATCAAACCTGCATAAATACTTCGCTTTCCATACTATTCAATTTAAAATACTCCCTCCGTTCTGAAATGAAGTTTCCGGTTTGAACTACACGCATACTCCGTATTTATGTAAAGTAGAGTTTTATGTTGACTTTCCAAGTTTACCCTTATTCTATATCAAATAAGGTAATAAGTGGGTAAAAATAAGGATAGTTGTGACTTTTAAGGTATAGACCAAAAACGAACAATAATGTCATTTTTATCACTTTTGATTTTTCTTTTCAAAAATAGTCTAATCTTAGTTTTGATTGCAATAATAGACTCTAAGCTAACACAGTAACACTCTATATATGTCCATCACGTTAAAGATTGAACCTTTTGTATTCATGGTTTGTACCACCTCTAGATCTACCACACTACGTGCCACTTATGAAAATAATGAGTAAAAGCATAATAATACATGTTTCAAATGTAAAAACGCTATAAAAATGTAAAAATTCTAAATATTGAGGAAACATGTTTAAAAACAAATATAAAAAGTAAAAGAGAATATTGTAAATTATTCAAAGAGTAAAAAATGTATAAAATACGATAGCATATAATTTAAATAATTTTTTTTAAAAAAATTAAAAATTCTAAAAAAACAAATTAGATTTAAAAAATGAAGAAATCAAAGCTAAAATAAAAAGAACTAAAAGTAAAAATTAGAAACTACTTGGTTAAATTTAAAAATAAAAGTATGTGAAATTAAAATAAAGAAACAGAAAAATATATAAAACTGAATATAGAATTTGGAAAATAAACATATAAAACCCTAAAATAGTTTAGAAAATAAATAAAAAATTTAAGAAGTAAAATTAGATGGTTAAAAGAGATCATTGATGATAATTGTGATGTTATATGTGTGATTTAAGAGTGCTAATTATTTCTTAAAATAGAAATCAGAACCTTTATATGGGACGTCTAAAAAAGAAAAGTGAGAACATTTATATGGGAGGTGAGGAGTACATGTTATGCATTGGATGTAATTCAATTCTAGACCGGACGAAAGCAAATTTAAACAATTGTAAAATAAACATGAATTAAACGTTTACAAGAGCAAACAAACAAAACCAAATAGACGAGATAAGATAAAGGGGTTATTCCCTCAATATTACTAAATTAAGTCGGATTTCAAAAAATGTGACCACTTTTAGATTTGGATAAAAAATGTGACTAAAATAAAGCGACAGCCAAAATTGGATAGATCCTGGGTATATCAATACATTAAGCAGTTGGTCCTTCCAATGAGAAGAGATGAGAAAGTTTTTCTTAACTGTTGGGATATTAAGAAACTGGGGATACTCTTATATGGTTGAGAATTTTCTAAAAGATCAGATATAGTCTTCTTTAAGTCCTCCCAAAAGTTCAATTCTTATTTCAATTTTATTTGGAATCTTTCCTCTGTAGAGCTAATTAAGACTATAGTTAATGGTAACTGGAGGATAATGAATCAGACTCTCTTTTCCTGTGAGCTTATTAACACTTGAGTTTAGCTAATGTGTGGCAACGGGAGTGCCTCAATTTCTCTCGAAGTCAAGAAACTTATTGGTAACTGGGGAATCTGTCATATCAATAGTGAAGGAAATGCCGATGCAGATTATATTGGTTGGTTAAAAAGATCAACTTGGACGTACAGAAATTTATAAGAATCCATTATTTGTGGTGGTTTTGGCTTATTAGGAAGGTGAAAGAATTTATTTTTCTTTTTTGAGGATTTATGGCATTTTGACCTAAAAAAAAATTGAACGCATCAGACTTAGATACTTCGCTGTCAATATTACTCGAATGATCAAATCAACTAGTGTCAAGAAAAAACGTCTTAAATATACTTAGGTGGTGTTTGGAACCAATTCTGATTCTGCAGAATCAGAATCAGTTTTGAGAAGCTGGTCCCCCCTAGCTTCTAAAAAAACTGATTCTAGGAGTAAATTAGAGCAGCAGAATCACTTCTGCACTTTCACCAAAACACTCTAGCCTGCTTCTGCTCCCTGGAGGAGCAGAAGCAGTTTTAAAAATTAGATCCAAACACCCCATACTTATATATGTTCTAATGTTGGGATGTATTTATCAGACCCTTGTTTAGTTGGTGAAATTTGGTTGGACCGCAAAATAAATGAACATTGTGTTTCCTTGTGATTTAAGAGATAGGACAAAGAAAACGAAAACAAATAAGGTGAAAAGGAGTAACCGATAAGTCCTGTGGGTGAATTAGTAAAATGAGATATGGAATATGCTAAGAGTGCTTAACCTAATTTGTATTGCTGTGCAACCAGAAAGATTTGCTGTGCTTAAATATGATTCATGACATTTTTAATTGAACATAAACTTTCTAGTCGGATTTGGTCTTATTTGATCTGGTTAGGTCTGATATGACCTAGAATTTGATCTTTGTATGCACACCACCTCCGGTCTCAAAAAATGTTGGGCCTTCATCATAAGGTCAATTAGTCACTTGTACTGTGGAGAATACCTTTAGTAATGTTTGCCTAGAACTCCTGGGCATCAATGTCGGGCAGGGAAGGATACTCAAGCCCATGAATGGCGGGTATCCTTCTTAAATCTTCTACCGAGTAACCTGGGATAAACCAATACCGCTTGTCCGTCCCAAACACCTGAGGCCAAAAATGAAAATGCATTTAAAGAAAAGAAAGATAAGAACAATAAAAAGATAAGGTGAGATTTAAAGGATAAGATAAAGATAAATATAAGATAAAAAGAACATAATAAAAACAACTGCATATGTTTCATTTCATATTCCAACCGTTGGGTTGTTGCCAAATTTATTTTATTGATCGTACCAAAAAATGTGAATTGGAGTTACAAGATCATTTACTTTACCATACATGGGAAGATATTCCTTTGGAAAAAATATTTCACTTTTGTTCGTCGATAATAACTTCGTTTAACAGTAATTTTGATCCAAAAAATTCATTTTTCCAATTTCGGTATCGACATAGATTTTTTTACCACTTGTTCGGAGTACATTTGAATGCTTTCCCGATTTAAGTTATAGTTGAAATTTGATATGAGTAAACTAGACTTGATGAATAAGATGCTCAAAAAAGTTCATCAAAAAATTTCACCAGGAACCACTCAAATCAGGGTTTATTTGACCTTTTTTTGTTAGTACATGGACATATTTACACCTTTTTCCAAAACCCTAAATTAGATGTGATGAATAAACGGCATACATACCGAATTGTAGCATATGTTAAGAGAATCATTCCAAGAGGAAGAAACTCTCAATTGATGGATGCAGAAAAGCTCCTTTACCATTTACAACCAGAAGCGGCCGTTTGAAGCTCCGTTACAGCGAAGGGGTAAAATGCAAAATTTAGCACTGCTAAATTAAACACCTCGCACTGCTAAATGAAGCGGCCGTTTAATTAAATATATTAAACAGATCCACTTAGTCTAAAATTATTAGGCCACATAATTTTACTGGGTATAATACATATACATAAGGTACGGTAGAAACCACCCATTCCATTAGATATTAAACCCCGCCTGCAGCGCAGCTTCCATTGGATCAAGAAAGTAGCCGGCCGCGCCCTTCTCATCTTCCTTCTCTGTACTCTGTGCTGAGCAAACATGGACGACTCAGTCGGAAAAGACCCCCTGGAAATCCTCCCCCCAGAGATGAGCCGCCATATATTTTCATGGTTGCCGGTGAAGTGCCTGTTCAGATGCATGTCCGTCAGCAAAGAATGGCAGGCCTTCGTTCATGAAATCAAGAACGCCCATGCCGGGAAACTGCAACTTCTCGTCATCTCCTCCCGTCAAGAAAACGGCAACGAAGAGAGATTTATAGTGAGGTCAATCAACCCCGATCTCAGCCTTCAATGGGTATCCTTGTCTCTATTCACCCTCGACGGTCATGACTTCAGATTCTTTGATGGATTCCGACCCAAAATTTTGGACTCTTGCAATGAGCTTGTTCTTGTTTCGGCTGGGGAGAAGATCCTCTTGTGGAACCCACTTACGAGATGGTTTAGAGTTGTGTTCGGTGTTTATAATCATAATCATAAACAGTACACTCTTGAGGGCTGTTCTTGTGTTTTTGGTTCATTTTATTACGACGCCTCCATTAAAGACTACAAAATTGTCCTTCTACTTCGCAATCTTACAGCGGATGGTCGTGGTTATGGCACCCGCTGTGTGAGTTTTGCAAGCTTGAAAAGCAATGTGTGGAAAGTTTTGCCAGCCCCTCATGCCCCCGGAGTGCACTCTGCGAGAAGAGTAATCCACTCCGCAAGAAAAGGCGTCAACTTTCACAATACATATCATTGGCCGGCATGTCACGACGTCCAGCCTCCTGTTTGGAATATCCCCGGAGGTCCCAATAATAAGATTGTTTATTTTGATCCCGTAAATGATGAGTTCAAAATATTACCCTCTCCCGAACCGTGTCACCGCGAAGAAGATGACTGGATAGTTGGTATGGGAATTGTAAATGATTGCCTTTGCATGGCTCGGTTGGATACCAAGACAAAGACGGTTCAGGTTTTGGCTATGAAAGAATACGGGAATGGAGAGTCTTGGTTCAGAGCATTCGACGTCCCTTTGTCCAGATTTGGTTGTCAACATGATTTGTACGACTTCACTTTTTTCTCCGTAGAAAAGAATGGAAAAGTGTTGATGAAATACAATGATAGCGGAATCCTTGTCTATGATCCGGCCAGTGAAGATGTGCTTCGTGTTAGGGTTCTCTTACCTGATTCAGAGATTGATCATGGTATGTGCTTCTATGCACAAAGTTTTGCATCCCCATATGACCAATAGATACAGTACATTGTAGTTCGTATATCTGATGGTCAACGGATGCACCCTACATGTTTCTTTTGTTGCTTTTTTTTTTCGGAAGGTGTTGTTTTTCTTTTTCTTTTTTGAGGATTAATGGCACTTTGACTTGAACAAAAAAAAAAAAATGGAACGCATCAGACTTGCATGCATACTTCGCTTTCCATACTATTCAGATTAACCGGTGTCAAGTAAACACACCTTCAAATACTCCCTCCGTTCTAAAATGAAGTTTTCGGTTTGAACTACACACATACTCCGTATTTATTTAAGGTAGAATTTTATGTTGACTTTCCAAGTTTACCCTGATTCTATATCAAATAAAGCAAAAAGTGGGTGAAAAATAAGGATAATCGTGGCATTTAAGATAAAAGTGATTTCTTTTATTAACATGAGAATTACTTTTGGAGGATCCATAAAGGAAGAGTGAAAACTTCTTTTCGGGACAGAGGTAATACTTATATTGTAATGTCGGGTTGTATTTATCAACCCTATTGTAGTTCGTGTGAGAGATGCTGGGTTCGATGACTAGGAATCTAGGATACACACGTGGATTTCCGACGAACATGTGGCATTTTTTGGCCGGAATATTGAATGGTACCGTTGATTGCAACATTTAAACATAGTTGATGTACTGATTTGTTTCATTAAAGAGTTAAGGTACTAAAATGCAACATTATTAATACTTTACGGTACTGTTTATGCAATTTACTCGTAAAGAATGGTAATCCTCAAAAGACATCAAGAACTCATATAGTGAATAAGGATAATTTACCAACATGTCGGTAAAACATTAAGACGAGAAAAATTGAATATGGGATCAATAAATCATGATGATATTCACCATCAAAGACATTCAGATTCATAGACCATTTATCTTTGGTCAAAGTAAAGCACAGTGACAAATATGACCCCAGGGCTCAAATGATGGGCTTACTGTTCCCGAGGTCCATGAAAGTGCTTGAACTTGGACTTTGTTATGAGCTATATAAGCTAGGTATCACGAGATTATCATAATTAGTATTCATTTATGTAGACAATAGAAACTCAATTGCATAATCCATTAAAACTCCTTAAATTTTAGTATGTTTAGTAGTAGTAAAATGTACTAATAACAATGTTACAACATAGTAGCGGTGTTACAGAAAGATTAATCTACACTCTAAAATCTCCACAAAATTGAAGAAGGGACTCCTGATGTTAGATATACATGATATATGAAACATGAGTATTTTGTTTTCTTACATAGAGTATAATAACTCAGGCCAGGTATGCACAGCACCTCCAGTGTCAAAAAAAGTTGGGCCTTCATCACAAGGTCAGTAGTCACTTGTTCTGTGGAGAATACCTTTAGTCATGTTTGCCTAGAACTCCTGGCCATCAATGTCAGGCAGGGAAGGATACTCAAGCCCATGAAGGGCGGGTATCCTTCTTAAATCTTCTACCGAGTAACCTGGGATAAACCAATACCGCTTGTCTGTCCCAAACACCTGAGGCCAAAAATGAAAATGCATTTAAGTTGAAAGAAAATATTTTGGGGTTGACTAACATAAACAGATCCATGATATTGGAGACGAAAAGAAAATAAAGATAAGAAAAATATAAGATAAAAAGAACATAAGAAAAATTAAAGATAAAAACCACTGCATATGTTTCATTTCATATTCCAACAGCTGGGTTGTTGCCAAATTTATTTTACTGATCGTACCAAAAAATGTGAATTGGAGTTACAAGATCATTTATTCTACCATCCATGGGAAGATATTTCTTTGGAGAAAATATTTCACTTTTGTTCCTTGGTAATAACTTTGTCTAACAGTAATTTTGATCCAAAAATATCATTTTTCCACTTTCCGTATCGATTAGATTTTTTTACCACTTGTTCTGAGCACCATTTTCTGGTTGAATTTTTGCTAAATAAGTGACCACAAGTACTCAACATGGCAAGAAATCTATTGTTGTGCACCAAAACGGAAGACATGACTGTTGGTGACCAAAACATAAAATGACTTGATAAGTTAATATTCATAAGACCAAAAGTGAAATATTTTCTTTCTTAAAAAAGATAGAAGCTATACAAGGCTTCAATTCTGAGAGCCAACAATATTAATTGCAAGTCTTTTTAAGTCATCTCACCTGTTCAAAATTTCTCCTTCGACCAAGGTCATAGCGCCACTTTGGAGTAGTCTTTTTTTCATAGGCCTAAAAGAAAGACAGCCAACGGATAATTATTCCCAAGGAGAAAATCAGATTCAATATAATATCTTAATTATATATTGCAAGTCCAAACAGCTACAGGTAGTTCGGCAACCAATAACCATAAAACTGAAAAACATTTCTGCTCAACTACGGGTTATTTAAGTAAGCCCACAGAGGATTATTCACAAGGATATTAAGTGTATGTTTGGGTTCGAAAAAATGCTAGGAAAAGGAAACAAAATGCTAAGGAAAGTTCTTTTCGTATGGCTAGTCTTATCTTGGAATACATTCATTAAAATAAAATAGGATAACTTCCTTTGAAGTTGTATATATGTCTGAATATCTTATTCATTATATAATTAATAATAATCAAAAAAAGTGTATACAGTACTCTGATAGTCTGATGTAGTCCAGAAAATGATAGGAAGAGTTTTCTTCAAACGATATTAGTTTTCACCCTTATTCAATGATTCAATCCAACATTTCAAATCAACTATCAAGGAGTATGAGTTCCTTTTTAACTTTACAACATGAAAAGGAGGACAAAGAAAGTAGATTGTGGACGTTTCAAATTATAGGCATATGAAAAAGTGAAAAACTATATCCAAAGTAAAACATATGGAGTAGAAGCTACAAAAGATTACCTCAATAGTTGTGGTATTCCCCGAGACTAATGACATGTGCATAATCAGAAACCCGAAAACACTCAAAGCAAAAGCCAGGTTCAACACTGTTAACACATGACAATTGTTAATGCATTTCCTAAGGCAGTATGATCTGAGTGCAAATAAAGATTCAAATAAAAGATTCAAACACCTTACCAAAAGCAAGGAAAGTTGTTGCAAGGGTGCCTGGAGTACCAGGTATCTCCTCTTCATCAGTGAAGAACGCAATAAAGTCTGGCAGTAATGCTAATGTCACAAGGGTTGTCTCAAGAAATGTGTAAAACTGCACAAACAAAGAGGAATAGATTAAGCTTTGTTAGGGATGATGACTATTGGAGTATCAGATGTAAAAAAACGAAATCTTTTAAACACAACATGGGCCCTCAAAAGATCTATGGTTATGTATAATGCTCTCCATATTTTTATGATAAGGGGAGAAGGGATATTTTAACAAATGAAAAATAGATCAGACCATAGATAACTTAATGTATATATTTATATTTATTCAGCATTATGATATTAGAAACCAAATGGCATCCATCCATTATGGTAATTGCCCAAGTAAGAAGAGACGAAAGGAAGAAATCTCATCAAAATACCACAGATAAAGTCAGGAATGCATACTTCTACCCATTTGTATACACCTACATCACCTAATATCAGATGGGGAAACAAATGTATGCAGCCATACTAAAAGATCTGTGCCGAATGCGAGAAATACAGTGACACAAATCCACATGTTAGAACTAGAAAAAACCGGAGTAAGACTTCTAACTTAGATATCAAAAAATAATATGGCTAAACCTTTATAAGTCATCTAGAGAATTACACAGTCTGTTTCATATTTCAAAATGACAATACCAACCGTACCAGGAAGAGAAGGAAATACTTGTAGTTCAAAGCACCAACACAATTCACAACCCACACACAATGGTGATCCATTTTTAAGACACAGTGCCCACCTAGGTAACCAATCAGAGCAAAACTGTTACGGAGAAAATGAGGAAAACAAAGCAGAATTAAACATTGAGAAGACATGCTCAATAAGGAACTCACAAACAGAACAATGGTGGCATCTAGGTGGCTTCATCTGGTTGCACTTCCTACAGAACCGGGCTCTTTGTTGTGGAAGATCAGCTGGTGAGCTTCCAAAATCTGATGCAGCCAAGGGCTCACTCTCCCCCATTTCTTCATCCGATGCTGACCTCCAATTGGGAGGCACACTACCGGGATCCGTAAAAACAACAGAAAAGTAACTCCATAATAGCATCACCAGCTGCATCAATTACAGAAGAGCTATAGTTTCATCATACCTTTTCAGAATCCGGGTCCACGCTTTTCATAACTTTTACAAAAAGGTCTTAAGATTTCAAATTATCATGAAGGTAAACTTACATGATCAAAAGTTCAGGCTACAACAAGTCAACTACAAACAACTTGAGGAGCTTTCCCTAAAGCATTAGGAGTACTAAAATAGAAATCATGAACCAAAGTCGTCACTAATCACTGGAAAACTACCATTGAGGATCTGAATGGTCACTATCGTTGCTACATATATACTACTATGGTCACTATGTCTTAAAAGTCACATTTTTGCCATCATTTCTTTATTATGTGGCCAATCTCTTCAAGAACAGTTCAAGGTGAGCTTAATTTAAACTAATAACTAATAAGACATTCCTAATATCGAACAATCTCATCCAGCAAAAAGAAGCCTGTCTAAATTTTGCCGAGCTAGAGCTTGTGAGACTAAGATGACCGGTACGCAATCGACCTCTAAACCCTCCAAAGTAGCTCAGTTTCACCGTACAAAGAAGGGGGAAAAGAATTTACTCTAATTAATGAGTCATTTTCCTGGCTGGAAGAATAGAAATGACTAATTACGGACTAATAAAAACAGTAAGTCAACAACAAGGAGGGCGCGAATTACCAAGCCATGAAAAAGCAGGAGCACGATTAGAGCGATAAGGGTCTCGGAAACGCCTCCGCCGCTGGCTAGGATCGGTCCGTAATTGGTGATGACGACAGCATAATAAGTTACACCGACAACGCCGAGGACCAAAAGGATCATGATCGAGCCAAGACCACGAAGTGCCGTGCAGAACTTGAAGACGTTCCACGCCATTACAGCTCCAGATCTATACATAATCGGGAACAAATGGGTAGGGAATTCGAAACAGATTATTTGATTTGGAGAAGAGTGTTATTTGTTGAATTGTTTGATTTGATTATTTTGGGGTTTATGGATTCCGGGGACGGAGAGCGGGATATCCGCCGGAGAAGGCAGGGAAAAGAGGATATAGGGAACGGAAATAGCCGCCGCTGGGCGCTGAGTTTTATTCTTTGACGTTAACCGTGTAGTGGAGAGTGGAAGTTGGATGGGGATAAAATTGGCAAAACAGTTGAAATTCTATACGGACTTGGAAGTCTATTACAAGTAACTACTCTATAAGTTGTCAGTGATGGAAATTCTTCATGGGCAGCCCTTTATCAGTCGCATTCACACACCACCAAAACTTTATGCTATCCCGTCCCTTTATTTATTTTTCTATTAATCCTCTAAACTTTGGTTAATCATGTACGTAGTAATTAACATATTTTTAAGAAACTTATAAATTTTTTGTTAACATATTTTTAAGATATTTATAATTTTTTTGTTTCTATGATAGTGCTTTTCATATAAAATTATTTCGTATTCCATTTTCCTCCTTCGGTTCCGAAATTAACTTCGCACTTTCCTTTTCGGGCAATCTCAAAATTAACTTTTCACTTCTTTATTTGAAAAATTATTTACATCAAAACAGTGCAAAACAATGTCAAACAGTGTCGAAATAATGTCAAAATAGTAAAATTTACCACCTGGTAAATGTTTTTCCTTAATATGTGTGAAATTCAAGTGGGAAATTAATTCCGGGACGGGGTAGTATATTCCATTTGTACCTTAATTTTTTTTCATCTTTCTCTTTTTAAATGTCAAAAAAACTTTGTTATTTTTCATTTCAATCAACTAATTTGTGATTCGTGTTATATTTTTATTTTCGCATAAATCTCAATCACACCATTTTTATTTTATTATTTTCCGAGTGGATCAAATTTCATAAAGTTTTAAGGGATGAATGAAGTTAGTATTTTCATAAGTACTCCATCTATCGCGTTCGTTGGAAAGTTCTTGTGGGTATATGATACGAATATTTGGATAAATGATTAAACAAATTAATTTGAGTAAAAGAGCGAGGGAGAGAAGAGAAAATTTAGAAAAAATACACATCGACATGTATTGAGTAAGAAAAAGAAGTTTGAATAGATTATTTTCTTAAATAGAATCTTTCAATCGAACATTCTAATAAAGAAAGTGGGATTATAATATAATGAGCCCTGTCTATATGATCACGTCGGGTAAAATCAGCCCCTATTTATTACGGAATCTAATCAGGCTTTATTGATCATATAAATATTGGTAATCCATTTTATGAAAAAGAGGGCTCTTTTGTCATGATTACCAATATTTATATGATCAATAAAGCCTGATTATACTCCGTAATAAATAGGGGTTTGTTGAAATATATAAAGATATCAATTGAAGGAGAAACATAATTATTTTTAGAGGATTGAATATATCAGATTTGTCATGATATAATTGTTAACACGGAGTATATCATACGTTCCTCGTAGTACAATATTACAATATTCAACTCTTATTGACTTATTCAAGTATTCAACAGTGCATTTTAGCTTTTGTGAGAAAGTAGCAACTCGCAGATATTATGACTATTTGACTATTTCATAAGGGGGCCCACATCATGTCTTAATATAACACTTCATTGACTCAAACATTTACGTTATGGGATTTAACACCCCACCGCACGACCAGACTCTTTATCTGGATCGTGCCGTCATTCATTTTTATTCATCAATTCGTCATTTTCATTTTTTTAATCGTGTCAATCATTTTTCATAAGGGGACCTACACCATGGATCGATTTGGATCTGATACCATATTAAGACTCGAGGTTTCATCCTAAAAGGTCAACCTGATAGAAGGAGTATCTCATGTCTTTGACTCAAACATTTCCGGTGTGGGATTTAACAATTTCTAAGCTACTCCCTTTATAAAAATATAGCCTTTCCATTTTTCTTATAATTTGATTATATTGTTTTTAGAATAAATTGAATCTCCTTAGAATTAAATCGAATGCTTCATGGTTAATACGGATATAAACTGTTTGATCTATTTCAACAACCTGAACAACATTTTCTCATTTTCAATCATATTTCTAAAATTGATTCAAAAAAATCATATTACTAAATTAAATAATTCATTGTAATAAACAAAAGATTATGACTCCGTATTTAAGGGCGATGTAAGTTTTTCATTTCTATCTACAGAAGTAATACAAAGGATTATTAGTTTTATTCATAAAAGTGATAATACAACAATTAATTAAATAATACGGATCGGAGTACGTGTAATTTTTTTCAAGTTGTAATTTTTTCCAGAATGTATGTGATATACTTTTGAAACTCGTGTTAGAAGACAATGAAGAGAAAACTTTAAAATTAAGTCAAGGGGTTATACTTTTATCCTTCTTCACTCATATTGAACAACTCGATATGAATCATAAGAGTTAAATACTTGGCGTGCTACTTTAAATTTCTTTAATTTGTCCTTCGCATCATCATGCAAATAGAGATGGAAACATTTTAAAGAGAAGTAACACCTTTTGAATGAAAACTCATACTATTGCCAATGTTGGGTTAATGGTCCAACGGGGGTCGGGTTAGCCCATAAAATCCTTAAGGGCCACCCTACGGACGTCCCTAAAAGGCACAAGACAACGAGTTACCTTTTCTGCGGATTCTGGAGAGGTTTGTCCCCAACAGGGCCAAGGGACGTACGTATCCTAGCGTCGGCTGGTCCCTTGGCCAGGAGCAGCACAAGACGCTCGTCTGGCAGGGCTTGGATCCCAGCAGGAAGAGGAGGCAAGATCATGGGACGAACGTCCTCTCCGCTTTGCTGGATGCCAAGATCCCAGCAGGAGGAGGAGGCAAGCTCATGGGACGAACGTCCTCTCCCCTTGGCTGATGCCAAGATCCCAGCAGGAGGAGGAGGAGGCAAGCTCATGAGACGAACGACTCCTCCCCTTGGTTGGATGTCAAGATCCCAGCAGGAAGAGGACGCAAGCTCATGGGACAAACGTCCCCTCCCCTTGGCGGGAAGCCAAGATCCTGGCGGGAAGCGCATTTAATACAGAAGATTTGGTGGTTGGGGTCAAGCGATCCATAGCCCGCCACGTCAATGCATCCAACTACCCATTGGCAGTATAAATAGAAGCATTTATTTCATTGTAAAGGGTTCACATCTTAGCACTCTAACATTATAGCAATTGTATCAGCTCGTAGCATATGCTAGGGATGAACGGCCTCAAGCCTTTGTACCGAAATTAATATACTAAGACTTCTTACTGGGCCTCTTCTTGCTTGTTTCTATATCTTTACCTTTATTTCTTCCCTTCGAAACCATTGGGTCGTGTGTTGGACCTACGGGTTGACGGAATAAACCTGAACAACCAATAAACAATTATACATTAAGGAAACGGAAAAATAATTTGAATATCTCAAACTTTGAATATGTGAGATAAACACCCAAATTTATATACTCGTATGTAATATAAATATCCTAACTTTATTGATGAATGCATTTTCACGTACCCAGTCACAGTGCTATAAGAAAGAGCCTTCATAATCGACTAAGGCGATGTCATTCGGTTGAGACCACTAAGGTCGAGCTTATCATCCGATCATGATAAGTCCATAATCGGAGCCAAGGTCGAGCTAAATTCCTGAGATGAGGTCAAAACCCCATCTAGCCAAGGCGATGTTTTGAATGTCTTCAAGATGATAACTCAAACAAAAAGAATGATTTAGCTACCAAAACTGAAACTATTCAAAATGATAACATCATTGGAAAGGAACACTCAATGTACAAATAGAATCAACATTGTTTTCTTCCTAAATAAGGATCATCAATAGTTCAATATTATAATGAGCACAAATATTATTATACTTCGTGTCTCCCTATTATTAGTTTAGAATGTCTCCCTATTAATAGTTTAGAACCGAGAGTAGATGTCTTTAACCGAGAGTAGATGTCTTTATCCCGGACCTCAATATATTATTATAAAGTATTACCTCCGTCCAATAATGGACTTTGCAAAAATTTATATTAAATTTACGATAATAATAGTAAAAATTTATGATTGAAATTTGTGCAGAGAAGAAAGACGAAAGTAAAAATGAGTAAAACTACAAAATAAAAATGAGTAAAACTACAAAATAATTACTTTAATTAGAAAATAACAAAGTTTTTTTAATCAACCAATAACAAATTTGATAGACTATCAAATATGAAAATATTAACTAAAGTCGGAGGGTCGGCCAGCGAGCCAACCCTATGAAGTCCCACAAATTATGTCGGCCATATGTCTTGATAGCCATACAGCACTCACCCATCGGGCGAATGTGGCATAATTAGCCAACCGACCCTTTTTAATTTCCCCAGCCGGAGGATGTCCCTTATTTGTACTCACTCCCAGCGCCTCCTCTTCCTAACACGTACCGGTGTGGGAAATAAAGAATGGGGTCCGTTAATGAAATCAAGATAACGGCAACGAGAAGAACTGAGAAGATGGATGCTTGGGAGCCTCGTATGGCGACGTTTCCTCTGAATCCGACTCAGACTCCGACCACTCTCTTCCTCTGCCCTCCACTTCCACTGATATGGCCCCCGAGACATTCATGCCTCTGCCGCCGCCTCCTGCAGCTCTGCTTGACTTGCCTTGTTTACTGGGTAAATTTATTTCTCAACCATTAGCACACCATTCACTTAGTGAACCGCGTGATTATACATTTGTGATGTGGTAATTTGTGTTACTCTTTGGCTGCATAGTTATGCTCACCAGATATTCGGTGTTTGGTCTGTAAAGGTTCGTTCTATTGCTTGGAATTCAGTCAAGCTAGTCGAGTTAGAAGCTTCCTCATGTATGGCAATTATGCTCTTCATGTTTACATTCCAGGTACATATGATCACTTAGCAAAATCACTGTTCCATTTGTAATCTATTTAATTTTTTCATTTCAGCATTTTTGTAATCTTTGGGGCTCAGTTGGTTGGGTTAATCTTCAGGGGAGGTGAGGATTGATGTGTTTCAATCTAACTTATCTGTATTTGCCTGTCATCATAGAGTAGCTATTAACTACTACTATCGTATATCATATTTGTTTAGATAAGTCACGCATTTCTACATATTTTCTCATATTTATTATTTACTTCATTTCTAATGTCTAATTATCTTAGTGTAAGAAAATGTTAATAAATTAAAAATGACCTCTTCACGCAGAAACCCCTTACCAGCCAATTACCGAGTACTGGAGCACCTGAGGGTGATGATGATGATGATGAATCTCATGATAAGCTGTAGACGGAGAGGGCCATTACAAGGTGATTCCAATTTGGTTTAGTTTATTTTTTTTTTCTGTCTGAAGTTCAAGGGAGTTAAAGTTAGACCCTTTCTTGTGAATTCCCTTAGCCAGTGTTCTTCTAATCGATGTTTCTTTTCTGTTTTTATTTCTGGAAGTTGGTTTTGATTAATTTATTATTTATAACAATCATTCGGACTTCGAAAGTTAATGATAGATTTGCATTTCCATTCCGAATTGTGGATTGCTATGGTCTTCAATTGAGCTATTTTGATTTTGAACTTAATTGCATTAGGATAATTGATTTTGTTAGTTTTTTTTTTAATTTCAGTTTGAAGCCTTTCATGTTATTTGATGGACGAAAAAAGATCAATTCAGTATTGCTTATCCTGTATGGTCAAGTTTCAGTGAAGCGCCCTTAATGTCTGACTCAAGAAAGAATTGTTTCCCCTTAAACGCTTCTGTTGCAGCAATATCTCTTACTTCCCTCAAGAATATGAAGGGTTTTGGTTTGAAGGCTCAAATCAAATACTATCGTATGATCAAAGGTTTATTGATAGAATTCATCGTTTCTTCTACTTTGGGAATGGATTTAATAACTCAGTTGAGGGGTAGTAGTTTTTCCTTCATTGACACTCTGTGTTTAGGATGAGACCATAAGGTTAGAGGGATGTAAAAAAAAAATAGTTTCACTCTTTGCATGAGATTAAAGAAATGCACGATTTGAACTAGAAGGATCAAAGACTTAGAGGATTTTCTATGTTAGTCACTTAGGCCCTTATTATACTCATTAGAAAATTACATAAACTAGATTAAGCAACTGACATATATCTTTAGATTGCTAACACTGCATGTCTCTATATTATTTCTTTTATGTTTCTAACATTTTCAGCCATTTGTGATTAATAGACTATATTAAGCAACTGGACGACCTATATGCATGCATTTCTTTTTAGGTTGCAACTGTAGTACCTTTGATAAACTTGAATGTACGGTACCTAGTACAAATGGTCCACTAACTTGCTACCATATGTTCTTGATTTACACCTAGGATTATTAACATCTGATCATAATTTGCTCGTATGCCCCTAAATATTTGATAATTCTTTTGAATTTGTAAGTTATCGCCATTACATTCTCAGTCTCATTTCCTATCTTTTTCGGTTTTTCCATTTCCTTATACTCCATTCCCGTTGTTTCTCTTAATCGTTTATGGCTATCTCCTTTCTGTCCGCCAGTGGCTACTGCGGTTAGGGGTCTTGATAATAAAGGATGGGTTACACGAGGGTTTTGGCTTACTATTGGCGGTCGTGCCGATAGGCGATAGAGGAGATGTAGGGTTCCATGGCTTACATGGGGATTAGAATCACCCGGACCCTATATTTGATTGGAATTGATTTTCCCAATATTCCAACAAATGATACCTGGGAGATTATGTTTGAAAATATCTTCCAACTTTTTAATTCCAGCTTTGAGCCACCAAGAGAAAACCACCTGTCTAATTGAACTATGTGGAGCAGCGAATAGGATGCCAAAACTCCCCATAAAGTATCTCCAAATAGGCTGCACATAGTTGCACTGAAAAAAGAGATGATCCATAGAATCACTATGCTGCCTACACATAGGGCAAATAGAAGGGTTAAGAATCTTTTGAATTTTGTTAAGATTGTCTGTGATAGGGAGATTCTTTTAACTGCTGAAAAAGTTTTGTTAGAATCTAATTTTGTTAGAATCACTATGCTTATGAGAAGTTTCCACTGAAAAACTTTGACTTTTAACTGCTGCTTAGGATGTCAGATATGTTTAAAAGTAAAGGCACTAGATAGTTCTTCTCTGACTACTATATGCAGATTGGACGAAGAATTGTCCATCATCTGATGGGGCTCAAATGCCCAAAATAGTTCACCAGAGGAACTAGTAGAGCATAAAGGTAAAGCTGAGGAATGAATAGAACAAATTCTTCTCCAAATGGCAGAATCCGAGACTTTAGGAATCAATGAATCATAGTCACCCCTAGGAAATCTGGCTCTAGCTAATTATACCTACTGCAAACCCTAGTTCGCTGGGAGCGTGTGGATGGGCTACTGGGCTGCAAGGAGGATGCTATTGGGTGATGCGGATTTGGGCCTATGCTGGGCTCTGGTTTCTGCTGATGCCTTTTATTAGGCCGCCTGGTGGGCTGAAGCTGCTCCAGCCTAACTTAGTATGCTGTTTTGGGTTTTGGAGACTGAATTTGTGATATGAGCCGGGGCATGTCCCGTGCTGTTTTGGTGGATTTTGCCTAAAAATCTCTCTCTCCCATCACCGCAAGGCGGGGGAGGGGATTGTTAGGTTAGATACTATTTTTCTTAGACTTGCTAGCTTAGATAGTTTGATACATTGTATATGATACTGTTTTCTGGCCTATATATTTACATTTCATCCAAAAACAATCTTATGTTTGGCCTTACTATGTTACTGTGGAAAATTCGTAGTAAAATGAAATATGAGTATTTGTTTTATTCTTCTCCATATATTTAGATAAATGTGGTAATATATAATACAAATAAATAAACAGAATGACTTCGAAAATGATCTTAAACAGATTGATTTGAGCTTGAAATATATATTTGAAGCCATCCTCAAATTGAAAATACACCAGGTTATATGCTGATACAATTAACGTACCCAAAAAGTTGCAAATCAGATATGCAATATCCATACTAAGATCGCAAATAAGTTGAAAGGGAATTCCTACAAGGCAACAATCGCACATCAGGACATTGAAATCCACTTTTAGCCAACTAATGCTCCACTAGTTCATCAGAAAACAAACAATTCATTGAGGTTGACTGTAGTTGATATTTTCCTTTCATGACTCTACGGGGGCTAGCCTCTAGCCAAATATCACTTGTTGGGCACTTAGGCATCAATAAATTAATCCGCTCATCACCACTTGTTATTACAAAACTGTAATTTCTAGCCTACAATGGCTAGACTCTAACTAGGAAGATTCGTCATAAATAAAACTGGCTTATTTACAGAAGCTGGGAAATGGCATCTCACTGTAGAAGTATAATCTTCCTATATACAAACAGCTGTGGGAAGCCAGGTCAGATTCCCGTCCAAAGCAACGGTGTTCATACGGGTCGGATCCAATGGAGCGGGTCAGCTGGTCCATCCGAGCAAGGTGCATGTATTGTATGTGGGGTCTGAAGCATTAAATGGATGTTGCAACATGTCTTTTCAGAACTTTTTCGTCCTTTAACACAAATGCAGATTCAATTATACTTTTTTAATTCGTAGAGTACAACTGCTCAAAGATTTACAATAAATAATCTGTATTTCAAATCCTCTTGGGCCGCAGAACAAATCCAAAAAGGATCTTAAGGTACAATTGCATTTAATGCTTCGGACAACACAATTCATTTTGAACGCAAGTTGCATAGAAAGGTTTACAATTGTTTATTACTGGATATTGCCTATTGGGTAGTTATGTCATATATGGGCTTTGTCCTGCCCAAGTTTTAGTATAAAAGGAACAAGTCAGTTTGTTGATTTTGCATTCCACCCTCACACAATCACTGCAAACGACATACGAAGTATATTCTAATGGCAGAAAACCAAGGAATGCATTCCTTCCTCAGGGACATTGACCACACCAAAACGACCTGGGCTATTAAGGTCAAGGTTGTTAGGGCTTATGAACTAACTCCCCGGTCTCGGGGGGGAGAACGTTTGGAAATGGTTTTTATTGATTCACAAGTAGTAAAATTGTACTCCCTCCGTCCCGGTCATTTTTTCCAAATTTCCTTTTTGGGCCGTCCCAATTAATTTTTCCAACTTCCACTTTTGGAAAAAATATGTGGTTCACATTCATTCACCTTTTTCTTACACAACTACAACCATACATTTTCACTTTATTCCCACTACCTAAATTTGCGATACCGGTCAAAATTGGAAGAAATGACCGGAACGGAGAGAGTAATAAAGAGGTGACAAAAAATTGATAGTATGCAGAATAATATAAATGTATATAAATATACATTTATATAGATTCATTGAAAGGAATGAACAACAACAGATTTCTTTTGTTTATGTTATCACCTTTCTCATCTGTTTGGCAAAGTATACACTACAACGTGTATATTTACAGAGAAATGTATATAATTGCAACTTCAAGCAATTTAATAGTAATTTCACATCAAATAAATAAAAAATGTACGTCTGTCACCATACACACGTCTGATGTTTCCAAAGACCTGGTCATGAAGTGCTATAAAGGACGGGATTTATTTATCCTCAAACATTACACAAATCACCAGATCTACAGATTGCAGTAAAAAGTTTTAAAAAAAATCCTCAAAAAATAAATATCCAATAGTGAATGGGAGTCATGCGACAAAAAAAAGTAATAGTTTGTGAAATCACAACTGTGCAATTCATTTCAAAAAATAAATAAACTGTTGAATACGAACCGAAAGTTTGAGGAAACAACACAGAAAAGAGGCTATACCAAACGACTAGACCAGGCCGTGGAATACATGGAGACTCATAACTGGCGATTAACATCCAGCCTGATCCTCGCTCACAGCTTGACAGACGGCCAGAAATCCAGTAAAACCAACAGCCTACACGAAGACCTAGATGTAGGAGAGAAAAACGGTATACAGGTGAACCAACAGATACATGGTTCAAAACTATCAAGATGCAATGGCTATATGTCGATAGGCTTGATATCCAGATCTTTTCATGACTTTCACTTGCAGTCCTAAATGGCCTGAGATTGTTAGGTTCCTTTCCGAAGGAATTTGAATCCTGATGATCGGCCTGATATAATCCGCCGAATGTTCAAGATGAAGTTAGGTGGATTGATCAAAGATTTATGTAATAATAAAGTCTTTGGTGATGTCCGAGCAGGTTAGCAAAATAATTGTTCTAAATTGTTCTAAATTATTAATAAAGTAATTATTCATGTTAAATAATAATTGATGACAATGCTTACTTTTATTTCATGCAATAATTTACAATATTGAGTTCCAAAAGCGTGGCCTCCCACATGCCCATATTTTATTGTTCATGGGAAATGCAGATAAATTTCCCACTCCTGCAGATATAGATCGCATTATATCAGCCGAAATTCCCAATGAGTCAAGTGATCCTGATTATTTTAATGTTGTACGAATGCATATGATGCATGGTCCATGTGGGAGTGATTGCAAAAACTCACCGTGCATGGTAAATTCTAAGTGTTCTAAGCACTTTCCAAAGAATTTCAATGTACATACTAACATTGAGTTATCCTAAGTACATGAGACGGGATGATGGGAAAACGATTGTCAAGAATCGTGTCCCACTTGATGACAGACATGTTGTTCCACACAATAGGTACTTGTTAATGAAGTATGGGGCTCATCTTAATGTGGAGTGGTGTAACCAATCAAGGTCTATCAAGTATCTTTTCAAATATGTGAATAAAGGTAATGATCACGTTACAACTGCATTTTATGAGACCACAAATAAGGATAAAGATGACTCAGAAAAGCCTGTGGATGAAATTAAATTGTACTATGATTGCCGATACATTTCACCGTGTGAGGCAATGTGGCGTATATTAGGGTTTGAGATACAATATAAGAATCCCTCGGTTGAGCGTTTGAGCTTTCATTTTCCTGATGAGCAGTATGTATACTTTGAAGACGAGGATGCAATGACATATGTTGTACAACGTGAATCTGTTAAACAAAGCATGTTTCTGGCATGGATGAAGGCTAATGATCAGTATGCGGAGGCTAAAAATTTAACTTATGCTGAATTTCCTCAGAAGTTTGTTTGGAAGCCAGCAACAAGGGAATTTGTTCCTCGGAAAAGGGGTTTTGCTTTGGGTCGAGTGGCATATGTCCCTCCAGGATCAGGAGAATCTTTTTATTTGCGGTGTATTCTGAATTTAAAGCGTGGTGCTACATCTTTCGCCGATTTGCGAAATGTTGATGGAATTTGTTATGAATCATATCGTGACACATGTTACGCATTGGGTTTGTTGGACTATGATAAAGAGTACATTGAAGGTTTTACGGAAAGTAGTTTTTGGGCTTCTGCATGGGGACTGAGAGTTCTATTTGTCATATTGTTATTAGCAGATACAATGAGTAGACCTGAATACGTTTGGAAGAAATGTTGGAATTTCATGTCTGGTGACATTCTACTAAGACAACGACGAGCTTTGCTACATCCAGGCTATTAAAAAAATACAATTTTTTTTGTTTATTATTGTTTATAATATGCTATAAAAAAGTATTGTGGAAGTAAATGTTTATATGTTTTGTTGTAGAATTAAACTTGACGGAAGCCAAAATAAAGAATTATGCATTGGTTGAGATCGAGATAATGTTGAGGACTCGAGGAAGAAGCTTAAGGGACTACCCATCAATGTCATTTCCTAACTTCACTAACGCAACCATGTTTCAAAACAGATTTATTTATGACAAGTTGCAATATGGTCATGCCGAAATGCGCGAACATCATGAAAAATGCATGGAGAGTTTGAATGAGCAACAAAGGCAAGTGTACAAGACTATTATGGAATCAATCGAAGAGAACAAAGGTGGCGTTTTCTTTGTATATGGCTACAGGGGTACAGGCAAAACGTTTATTTGGAAAACGTTGTCAGCATCTTTAAGGTCAAATGGTGAAATTGTTTTAAACGTAGCTTCAAGTGCGATTGCTTCATTATTATTGCCTGGTGGAAGAACAGCTCACTCACGTTTTGCAATACCAATCAACCCTACCGAGCACTCGACATGCAACATCAAGCAAAATAGTCCACTTTCCCAATTGATAATTAGGTCGAAACTTATTATTTGGGATGAGGCATCGATGATGCATAAATATTGTTTTGAAGCTTTGGATAGAAGTTTTCGTAACATTCTCAGGGTTGTGGATCCTCTAAATAATGATAAGCCGTTTGGAGGGAAAACTATTGTATTTAGAGGAGACTTCAGACAAATCTTACCGGTGATTACCAAAGGTACAAGACAAGACATAGTTAATGCCACAATTAATTCTTCATACATATGGCAAGACTGCATTGTTTTACGCTTAACGAAGAACATGAGACTACAATCGTTAAGTAACGATCGTGATTATGCTGACTTGGTTGAGTTTGCTGAGTGGATAGCAAGTTTGGGAGATGGAACGGCAGGTAGTGAAAATGATGGTTGTGCTGATATATAAATACCAAGTGACATTTTGCTTCAAAGTGGTGAAGACCCTATTGCAAAAATTGTACGCAGTACGTATCCTGATTTTGAAGCTATGCCAACTAACCCATGATTCCTAAAAGAACGTGCAATTTTGGCCCCAACACTAGATGTTGTTGACGCAATTAATGAGTACATGACTGCATTGAATGTTACAGAGGAATGTAGGACATATTTGAGTTCTGATAGCATTTGCAAATCAGACTGTAATTCTGATTTTCTGGCAGATTTGCATACACCGGAATTCTTAAATAAGATACGAGCATCCGATGTTCCAAATCATGAGTTGACTCTAAAGGTAGGTACTCCGGTTATGCTTTTGAGGAACATTGATCATTCCATGGGCTTATGCAATGGCACGAGGTTGATTATTAAGAGGCTGGGAAATCATGTTCTTGGAGCAACAATTTTAGGAGGAAAATTTGATGGTCAAGAAGTAGTCATACCGAGATTGACATTAACACCTTCAGATGCAAGAATACCATTCAAGTTCCAAAGAAGGCAATTCCCAATCATGACCTCTTATGCGATGACTATAAACAAGAGTCAAGGTCAATCTCTAACACATGTTGGACTTTTACTAAAGAAACCAGGCTTCACTCATGGTCAACTTTACGTTGCAGCGTCAAGAGTTACCAATCGCAAAGGCTTCAAAATATTGATCTGTGATGAAGATGGCAAACAGATTGATCATACTACTAATGTTGTTTACAAAGAAGTCTTTAGAATTTATAGTTTCACTACGAACAATTATTATTTTACTCTTCGCTTCATAGATTGAAATGTTATCTCTCTTTTAATATTTACATTTGACTATGCCAAAATAAATTACATTAATACTACGTCGGCGATGTTACAATTTCTCTTTAACTACGAACAATTACTATATTACTTGCCACTTTATTTATGAGTTCAATTATTTTTGCATTTTTATAATACACTTCTTAATTAGACTTTGATAAAATTTCGTCCGGGAATCACGCGGGTGAGTATCTAGTTCATTAACATTAAACTATACTTAATCACAACAAACCAGAGTCTCAAAATTAGACTTATAAAGAAGAGTCTCAAAACCTTTGTTGAGGGATAGTTGAGGCAAAGGGGGTAGTTCTTTAATGTTCTATGGTTTTTGAAGTTTGTGTTTTCTCGTGATCTTCTGTATAGTGAAAGAGCTCGAGGGATAGCCCCCCCAGTCCCCCACTCATGTTGGTCGAAGGTGCTTCCTATTAAAGGAGTTGTTGTGGTGCCCCGAGGGGCTCACTTGAATTGTTATTCTTTTGTCACCCATGACGTTTTGGCCGGGGGGCATGTGCGTGTTGAGACCTTTTGGAGCGATTCATAGCCAAGGACGACGGATATATGTGCTTATGGAGTTGGGAATAGAAGGAAGATCCTTCTTTTGAGAGTTCAGGAGCGGAGGAATGGTGTTTCTATTTCTCGGGGCTTGGAGTATCCGGCGGGTGCTCGTGTCGAGGGGTCCCCAGGGGAATGTCTTTGGGGGCTTTCTGATTGGGCAACGAGAGCGCTAAAGGGGGCGGGCAATCTGATTGGGCCGGCCATTGGCGTGTGATGATGGGCTTTGCTGACCAGAGGAGGTAATCTGTAGGTGACCGTATACCCATGTTTGGGTAAATACTCTTGATACGCCATCATTTTTCCTTTACGTTTTCTTTTGGTTGACGTGAAGCTCTATGCCTCTATCCAATTCTAGTTAGAAAAAGCAACCGAGAATCTAGCTCTCTTTTCATGGAGATTTCATCGCTTTTTCTTCATCCTTCGTCTCATATTTTACTCTGAAGAGCTTTAGATCTAGTGATTTAGGAAAAGTCCTTGGATTCTCCGAATGTTTAACACCTTAGCTTCCCGAGCACCTGCCATAAATGTCATCCAAAGTCAATTCTCAGGATTAGTCAAGGACACCCCCTGTTTTGGATCAAGCCATCAAGGACATCGAAGTGGAGGTTGTTAATGAATTCATGAGGGAGTTTGAAGAAGAAGATGCCAAGGGTGGTTCTCTGGCATCTGAAGTGGAGGTTCTTCGTACCGAGCCTAGTACACTAGCCCCCAGTTTAGCCTACCCGGAACCGCAGGTCCGCAGCCCGCTCACCCCCCAACAACCCAATCCAAGATCAGCCTGTTCCGGCCTGGAACCATGTTCACCACTGCACCAAGCAGTTTAGTATAACCCTAGGCTATTAGCCTATTAGGTATACCCCTGAACTACTAAATGTGATTTGTATCATTCAATCTACCCATGAACCATTTGTTTTTATCCCATATATCCATTTCCATACAATAAAGGTTTTACAAATTGGAAGCGGGTTAAGACCAATGTGACGTTACCTGTCATGCTTTTATTTCGTGCTTCATATCTTGATGACTGGATAACTGGATTATAAGCGGGTTAAAACCAATGCGATGTTACCCTGTCATGCTTTTATTTCATGCTTCATATCTTGATGACTGGATTACATTATCAGTTGCAGAATATTCAAGAGAGACATTATTAATGTCTTCGGATGTCATTACAAAGAGACAGATGCATTACACTCACATGCTGAACATAACATTAATCTACAATTTAGCAAAGTGTGAATTATACACAATACTGACCATAAATACTTGACTGAAATCTGATCACACGTGAACATACATATAGGCAAATTTGTTTAAAAACTTGAAAATTCAGAGATTAGGTAGGGAAATTGGAATGAGAGCAGAATTATAGTTCAAGACCATATGATGCCAAATTGTCTCTCTAGAGCTTCCCAATCATTCTTCCCGTGATATGGGATCTATCCCAGCAGATGGGCTATCAGCATAGTACTCTTGATGTTTGACGTTTACACCATACTACAATTGAAATTCAACGTGAGAGATAGAACTTCTTAATAGTAAAAGGTTGCAAACGGAATTCAAAACTAATCAATGACAAATACAGCATTAGTACAAAACAGCAAGCGGTATGTCTTTCAAGATTTTTACTGCTGACTTGTTTGACCCTAGTACAATGTTGAGTGTTTTCTTTCAAAGCCAACTGAGATCAATGAATCACCACTCTATGGAAGGAATGGGTATGAAAGCCTAAAATGAAAACATACATTAATAAAATACAGTAATATGTTAATTTACATTTTACTTCCACCTGTAAACATTTTTTTAAGGCATCTGAGATTCATGTTTTAAACTAATAGCTGAATTAAAATTATTATGTCCAAAGGGCAATAAAGAGTTTTAAATAAACTACTACTTTTTCTGATTTTTAACTAACTTTTTTATTTAAAATGCTGAATAACTCCACCATGAGACCATTTTTTTGGTACCATCTGTCCCAAGGAAGGAAAGAGGATGGTGTTGTGATAAACGCCATAAACGTATAAAGGAGGAGTGTGTTGTGACTCTTTGATAAGCTTAAAGAGGAGGAAAGTGTTGTGATAGGCGCATGATGGATAAGTGGATTGTAAGTATAACTTAGTTATATCTCATGGCATGAATAGAAATATGAATATCACTTAAAATTCTGAATAAGACTTGAACAAATACTCAGTACGCACTAATTGCGTAATAGAGATGGTTCATCCCAAGGCCGAACAAGCCAGGTTGACAGGTTCCAATTTGGTACTAGTCATTATACACCCATACGGTATATATTTTAAAGCCCCGGCCCCATTTAATTGCATCCAGTAGTAGTTCAGATAGACAATTGATGAACAAAACTTCTGCCATCATTTCTGATAGACAATTGATGAACAAAACTTCTGCCATCATTTCTGATAGACAATTGACGAACAAAACTTCTACCATCATTTCTGATAGACAATTGATGAACAAAACTTCTGCCATCATTTCTTATTAAACTTTGATTTATTACCCATGTTGGGATAATGGCTCAAGCCATTATCATCATATAGCCAAAGCCAAACTCTTATAATTAAATTCAAGGCAAGTTAGGCCCAAGTTTAATCCTCAAAAGCCGCTCCTAAACCCTAGTCAGAAGCACTTCAATTCTAATATATATAGGTTGTGTTTTGAAAGAAGGTATCCAACAATTCCTGCTCTTCAAACACTAATCTCCTAAGCTAGTCATCTTCCACATTGAGCTCAAGCTAATTGATAGCTTACAATGCCTCTTGTATTTATTTTTTGTATATGTAATCCCTTCTCATCGATGAGGCTTAGCTAAAAAAGGCCCGTGATTTGGAGTTTTGGACATAAATACTTATGTTCAATATTTCAATGTTGCTTATAGGATTTAGACCGAATTGTGTTCTCAGGCCACAAATCTGTGTAGGATTAGCCCCACCAAACCATTTCACTTCAAATGAAGCTAGTTCATTGGCAATGACAAAATTGTGAATCAATATCATTACTTGGATGAAATAATATATACTTCGTAGTACGTAGAATTTACCATTCGCCATGTTATCTATGGGAGATAGGACTTGCCTTTCATCAAATAAATTGGAAAAGAAAACTAAAATATGTTTGAACAAAATTAACAGAAAAAGATTGAAGTAAAAATGCAGCTTATATATTAAAGTAAGATCACCTTAGTATCCTTGTCATTTCCTTCTAGATGTATTCAACTTTTTTATCATTGAAATTTGCAGATGAGCACCTAATTTTTACCCCAACTAACTATACTTCTTATAGATTAGCTACATATAGAAATCATTCAAATAAGATACTAGAAACTTAGAAATCATTTGTTTCAAAATCAAAGAAAAAATTGACATAGCATGAACTGATTAGCCGTACACTTCATAATAAAGAACTTCCTCTTTCAAAATTATAGATTATTTGGTACATAGAGAGAATACGATCACGGTATTATCCCAGGAAAATGTGGCACAAAAAAAAGGCATTTGCAAACTGAAAGGTGCAACTAAATGTAGTTGTAGTTAAAGATTAATATTAAAGATAAGCAGTCTCACTTAGGTCAAGTTTAGATCTATGTTGCACGGAAACGTGAAAATCATAAGGAAACAGGAAAACGGGAAACGTCAACTTTTGCTTAAAAAACGCTTATTTGGAGAGTTTCCAAAGGGTTTCCGAGAGTTTCCGAAACGGGAAACGTACTCTTTCCCGAGAGTTTCCGTGCTACATAGGTTTAGATCTTTACTAAGCAATAAGTAAGGTAAAACAGTTTCAGCGTACCTCACGTAGAGCTTTAGACAAATCATCCATTGTCAATATTAGTCGTTTATCCTGTTACCAACACACATTCAGAACCAGTCTACAGAGGGTGAGAAAGGAAAGCACAGTTAAAGAGGTAAGAGAGCTGCCTTTTGCTGTTTATCTCGCTTATCTTTCACAGTTCCAGCTGTTCTTGCTTTGCATTGCCTGCCAAGAATTTAAAACAGCGGGAATTGGTTAGCACTCCCACAAAATGTGTGAAGGACCAAGAAATAGAAAGGTCAGACCCAAGGATATGGAGGGGTCCGCCACCCAGCCTAACTCCAACCTTGCAAATGCATATGCGTGTGCACGCGTGTTTGTAAACATTACAGGGGCACATAGTATATCAAGTAATTTAGCATCAAAATGTAAGCAAAGATGCAACTGCAGAAGCGGAACTGCGTCTGTTTAGAGTCCAATCTGAGAGTCAAAGGACTCAAGCTACAAGGGTTTAAATTGAGAATTCTGAGAATTTCAGTTTATCAAATAATTGGTCAACATTTCCAATTTCAGTAATATACACACAAACCACAAACCAACAACTAGTAAAGTACTGGGAGAGTAAACTCCTGTGAGTTCCTTAATAATGAAAAGGGGAAGAGGACATAGGGAAATCCTTAATGTAAAGAACAACACAAAAACATACTGAAGAGCATCAGTGGCAACATCTGCAATAAACTTCTGTGTAGCAACAGCCACCAATCGAATCCTGCATCTCACAAATTACACATAAAGACCATTAAGTTGTTGAAGATTCCATTTTTATGGGTTTAATTGATAGAAACAGAAAATAAACACAATAACAACCAAAAGTGAATCTAAAGCATGTATACTGAACTTACGGCCTTAGGGATTTCTGAAAATCACAGAAATGGAAATAGAGCTTGTGTAACTATCACTTAATAGTACAGACTAATTTTATGCGTACTATATTTTGAATAAGCCGACCCCAAATTCTTTTGGGATTAAGGCTTGGATGTTGTTGTTGTACTATATTTTGAATAAGTGATACTGGTGTGTCTAACAAGCAATAAAATAGAAGACGCAAACAGTGTACAATAGAGAGGTTTAGAAATAACTTAAAAACTAACTTGCATCTAGAAATAAAGATTTAAAGCCCTCCAAAATTGAAAATACACCAGGTTATATGCCGATTCAATTAATGTACCCTAAAAATTGCAATCCAAATACGTAGTATGCAATATCTATAATAAGATCCCAAATAAGTTGGAAGGGAATACCTACAATCGCACATCAGGACATTGAAATCCACTTCTAGCCAAGTAATGCTCCACTAGTTCATCAGGTATCTGATAAGAGTTATCAAAAAGATGAACAGCTCATTAAGGTTGACTGAAGTTGATATTTTCCTATCAAATACAAGTGCAGAATGGAGCAATACTAAATGGGGCTAGCCTCTAGTCAAATATCACTTGTTAGGCATCAATAAATCCACTGATCAGTGATCACTTAATATTACAAAACTGTCATTTCTAGCCTAAAAATGGCCAGATTCTAACCAGGAAGATTTGTCATAAATAAAATTCACTTATTCACAGAAGCCGTGAAATGACATCTCACTGTAGGAGTATAATCCATCAGAGATGTGAGGAATTCAGAAAGGGAAGTATCATCTTCATGTTTTCCTTCTGGCAATTGCTGACCCTGACTAGGATGGCTCATCTTCTTCTCACTAAGAATAAACTCTACAACCTGAATGCAGCAGAAAATAACCTGAGAAATTACAAATACACACACTTATAAATTAAAGAAGAAAGATAAATATTTTACAGCACTGAGCCTGAAGATAAGTCTATAGCTCTATGCAATGATTTTTATCACAAATACTTTAATGTAATTATGTAAATAATCAACCCTAATACTCATTTCTATAATGAAATCACAGCTTAAAAAGCGCACGCAAAAGATCGAATGCATTGAATTTGTTTCAGAGCCCACAGAGCCTGATTGGTAAATTCTAAATATCTCGGCGTTGATAATAATAGGTAAGGTAACCTGTTATCTAGGAGTAGGGTTCTGCAATGCAGCAAAGACGAATAAAAAAAAGTTTCTCCTTTCTTTTACGGAGTATTCTTTAAGATCGACTTGCTTACATTAAGCTCTCTATGCTTTCACACAAGAAAAGGGTAAATTTGACTTTACATCTTTTTTCATGACGTATTTATTTTGATTTATTTGAATCACGACCAGACTAAATTGATTAGATTAAGATACACTTCAACAAACTAGATCAGATAGGAACAAACTCAAGCAGATCAGGGTAGATGATATCATACCAGATTTAGATAGTAAACTAGCAATAAAATGTGCATACATCAAACAAGTACCAGACCAATTCAAACTATAGCAGACATTAATAAACTATACTTATTACTTAAACAATAAACAAGAGTCTCGTAATTAGACTTGAAGAAAGGAGATAGGGTACGCTAAAACCTAACTGAGTATGAACATATTTTCAAGTCTAAATGAATTGTTCTTTAGGGGAACTTATATATTATCTATTAATATATCTATTAATATATAAAGCAAAAGAAATTTTCTACAATGTTCCCGCCTGATTAGGAGCACAAATACAATACACCTAACCGTACCGTAGGGAACAAATCCCAATATAACTCTATTATAATAGTGAATGGGGGTAAGGGTATTTCGGGTATAAAAAATGTGTTGGTGTAATATGTAGTTAACATTATTTGTACACTAGGCTTTTTCACTTAAGCACCTAAGAATTGTCGTTCTGGATAACTTATCAAAATTAAACTTCATAAAATAGAGCTCAAAAAACTTATAAATGTAACTGCTTGTTTTTACATTTCATGCTTTAAGAGTCTCGGAATGAACTCCATATTTGAGTTTAATTCATTTTCAATCACTCCCACCACAAAATTTATGATCAATTTAGCCACTAATTCAATTTCGAAAAATGTTAGAAGTACAAACACACTTACAAAAAAACTTACAAACAAGTGATGTGGCTATTCAAATTACCATTGATGTAAAAGTGTTGTAAATGTGATGTGATGTGTTAAATAATGTGATGATGCCACATACCCCTTTTGTAAGACTTTTTGTAGAAGTTTTTGTACCTCTAGCATAACTCTTCAATTTCAATTACTCACCAGAACCCACTTTTTTTAATTTCCTTAAAAAACTTCAACAAATTAATTAACTAGCACGCTTTCGTTCACAACCTAATTAAATATATTGCTGCATTCAGTATCACCTCTTGTAAATTCTGGCATCTAATGAACCAAGTTTGACTTTTTTAATATGACAGTCGTTGATCACTTGGTATATGGTATTCATTATTTCATGTAATTTTTCCTTCTTGGATTACGAATTTGATTTAGCATTTTCTTTGGTTTGAAAATAAATTCGTTTAGATTATGTAATTTTAGCCACGAAGCAGATTTTTACCAATATATGAGATCAAGCAAGGATAAAGCTCAAGGCTTCGTGCGTTTTACCTGGTGAAGAGAAAATCCTCGGACTGCGTCGGAAGTAGGCGGACGGAATTTGACGGCGGTCGGAGGCGGTCAGAAGGCAGGTTGGTCGCGGGAATCGCAGCTGGCTTCACACGTCTCTCTGTTTCTGACCCGAAGAGGCGGAAGGGGTAGAAGAATTAGCTGCTGGTTTCAATTTTTTCCCTAAATTTGGGCTGGTAGCCCATCACAAATGATTTTTTTAAGAGCCCATCTCAAATGATTAAATGTGTGTGGTGTTTTTTATTTAGAATAAAAAGGATCGGTTTTTTATATTTAAAATGAGACAAGATACAAGATCACATTCAGACAATTATGGGGTTCAATTGTGTGTCCTGAGAATAAGAATAGAATTAGTCACCTCATATAAGGTAATCTGATTTGATAGACAAGAGACGAACAATTTAAAGTCTAAAACAATCGGGATTGAAATATTGTCCAAATTTTCAAACCAAACATACTCAAATTAAAATAAAAACAAATACTTGAAATGAAAAAATAAAATTAAAATAAAGTCTTCCCACAAAAACTCTTCATGACAAGAGAGGTGGTTCTGGAGGATGAGGAGCTCTATTAATGTCTATCCACTATAAAAGAAGGCAGAAAAAATTCTTGACCAGACGAAGCTAGCCGGCACCAAGAGACAAACCACCCCAGAGCACCAATGCCCGGGAAAGAACCGCCATTGAACAAAATCAACATAATTAAAAGAGAAGAAAAATCCAAATAGATCATACCTCTATCAAGAATATCAAAGTGTTATGTCATCGTAAGATAATTTGGATCACACTACCGCAAAGGGATTCAATGTAGGGGGCGGAGGAACAACAACTAAAAGCTCTACCTAGGGTTTCTCTTGCATAAAAATGTTACTTGACCGGTCTCATTCTATTTGGTTTACACTTTACACTTCTACCCAGAAGAATGAGTTTGTGGCGTTATTTTTGTTTTTACTTGTAATAAATTATTATAATTATGTACACATTCGCCCCCATTACTTGCTCATAATTGTCCACTTTATTTTTTTTATATTTTGATTTCTGTTGGGAATATTTTAATTGTTTATTTATTTTTGCTTATTTTTATTCCCAACAATTTCATTTCTTTCAATTATTTATCTCACATCTAAAAAATAAGGAATTGTTTACTAACAGAGATATTTTTCAATTTTCTATTTTTGTTTTCCGTTCTCCAATTTTCTGTTTTCATTTTCTAGTATTTCTATCTTCGATTTTTTTTCTTTTTTTAGTTTTCCATTTTCAAATCTGAAAACATATGCATACATTTTTTTCACCCGGTTTTGTGATCGATCAAAAGATCGAAAGTACGATCCCAGTCCGGAACAGAACCTAGTACAACCCAAGTAGGGTATTGGGTCGCACGTATAGGAAAGTCGGGACCTAAATCGACCGGTCCTGGCCAATCACAACAGTTAGCTTGATGAGTTTTTTCTCATTTCCCTATTGTTTGACAACTCAACGGTTCTTTTAAAACTCTTCAATTTAAAAAATGTTTTTGAAAAACCGTGATTGACCGGCTCGGACAAGGACCGCCGGGTCATTTACGTGACTGGCATGGGACCGTCCGGTTGTCGATCGGACCGAACCCAGACCATCGGGTCATTTGCCAGATAGGATGGAGACCGCCATGTCATTGATCGGACAGGAAGGGGACTGTCGGGTGTTTGACCGGATAGGAAGGGGACCGCCGGGGTCATTGACCGGACCGGAAAGGGACCGCCGAGCTGTTGACTAGACCAGATCGGGCCAGGACTGCCCGACCGTCGATTGGACCGAACAAGTATCGCCTGGTCGTGGATCAGACTCGACAGGGACCGCCAGATAGTGGACCGGATCGGGCAGGGGCCGTCGAGTCATGGACCGGACAGGGGTCGCCGGATAGTGGACCGGACCGGGACCACCGGATCATCGACCAAACCAGGACCATCTGATCGTCGATCAGACTGGACCTGGATTGCTCAGCCGTCGGCTGGACCGAACATGGACCGCCAGGTCAATGATCAGACCAGACCGAGTTGTTGACCGGACTAGATAAGAATCGTTGGGTCATTGACCGGACCAGACTGGAGCTGACACCGGAGCGGGACCAGATCCAACACTAGGTGTAAGTATGCAAATTTCATTTTGGAAAACGATTTGGTAAACACAATTTTCTGTTTTCCTTTCTCCAGTTTTCCATATTTTTTTTTGGTAAACATGTTTTCTGTTTTCCTTTTTCCAGTTTTCCAGTTTTCTAAAAAACTGGAAAATATCTCTCTTAATAAACAAGCTCTAAGTTTTTCTGATTATGTATGTCTAGATGCTCTCACTAGAATATATGAAAGAACGCGGTTCCTTTAGAAACCCGTCTCTTTAGATCACATAATTGACTTTAAAAATCTCGTTTAATCATTATTATGTTTTCCATGTTTAGAAAAATGGTGGTGTTTTGTAGGAGTTTTTCTTGATGGAGGCAATCATGCTGATACAGTCGCTAATAGCCTCTTTGCTATCACCGTTTCAACGATTAGTCTCGCTCTTCGTGGAGTGAACTATTCTATGTCTGAGCACGACGCGAGAGGATCAATGGGCTTTTCGTTTTGTTTAGGTAGAGGGAGAATTATGTCTTGGGACATGAATGTTATCTTGTCTATGTAATTTAAATAGTTCGGACTTTATATATTACGTATAAAGTTATTTTAGCACCATGGTCATGTATTATTTTTTTTTAAAATGTTAATTTTAAAATTAACATTTTATAATTTCAAAAATGTATTTTAAATTATGAAATTAACACAAAAATTTGTGTTAATTTCATAATTTAATATATTTTAGCATTCATGAAGATACAATTAACATTTTAAACTTCGATTGTATAATAAATAATACGACCCCCACTTTATACAATTGCAGCATATTTAACTTTCTATTTTAAATCATGCAATTAACATCATAAATTTACATGTTTTGAAAAAAATAATATATGAACATGTTGTTAAAATAACTTCTTATATAAAGATTGAGGTATTTAAATTATGTATAAAAGTTTGAGGTGTTTATCTCACAATCCTTCAAAATTTAGGGTATTTTAATTATTCTTCCCTAGAAAATATTTTTTATGCAAGTATTTTGGGGTTTAAATTAATTCGGATCTCTTTTTTCTTTGCCTTATAAGCGCATCAAGCTTTTTTCTATGCGATGTTATTTTGTACATATTAAAACATTAAATTTTATAATAAAAATACTTATTAAAGTAAATGGTTAGCCACGTTTATTCACCCTACCTGTTGGGGTGGTTACACTTGTAAATAGTAAAAGTAATTTGAAACGATTTAAAACATATAAGACGGTTAATACGAACAATAGCCCGTCTAGCTCAGTTGGTAGAGCGCAAGGCTCTTAACCTTGTGGTCGTGGGTTCGAGCCCCACGGTGGGCGTGTACTGAGATTGTTTTTTGATATTGCATATTTTTCAATAAGCTAAATAAAAACTTACAAGGTGAGTAAATATTCGAGTATTTCTCTTTTTCCCAAATAGGGACTAATTTATTTTCGACCATTCAATATTCTTCTCCAAATAATTATTACTTAAAGTTACATAATTAATTATGTATGTTCTAAAAAGCATAATAACATATGTTTATTTAATCTTTGGTAGTTGCTTTCAAAACGAAAATCTTTGGTAGTTTAGAAGAGCAGATTTTTTTTAAGTAAGCAAAAAACATAATTTCTGTTTATAATTGGAAACTGATAGTTTGAATGTCAAGTATATTATACACAAATATCATTCACTTATTAATAATTTCTTAAAAACAAAATCATATAAAATATTCGAGTATTTCTCTTTTTTCCAAATAGGGACTAATTTATTTTCAACCATTCAATATTCTTCTCCAAATAATTATTACTTAAAGTTACATAATTAATTATGTATGTTCTAAAAGCATAATTACATACTCCCTCCGTTCCTAAAAATACTTCCCACTTTCCTTTTTGGGCTGTTCCCAAAACTACTTCCCACTTTCTCATTTTGGATAATTTGTGTGGCTCACATTCATTTTACTTTTTTCTTACACAACCACAACCATACATTTCCACTTTATTTCACTTTCTTAATAAGCGTGCCAAGTCAAATCGGGAAGAATTTTTAGGAACGGAGGGAGTATGTTTATTTAATCTTTGGTAGTTGCTTTCAAAACGAAAATCTTTGGTAGTTTAGAAGAGCAGATTTTTTTTAAGTAAGCAAAAAACATAATTTTTGTTTATAATTGGAAACTGATAGTTTGAATGTCAAGTATATTATACACAAATATCATTCACTTATTAATAATTTCTTAAAAACAAAATCATATAAAATAATTGTGATGACCCCAAATTTTTTTGAGACTAAATCTGGGATGTTGTTGCTAATCAATTGAAATTATGGTTACTATATTATTACCAATCTACAAGTATAATTATTTAATATGTAAATACACAAATAAGAGATTAATTGCATTGATTTTCTATTTCTTTTTGTAATTTTTATTATTATTTGCAATTCAATCTATAAAGTAATTTTTAACGGATTAAGGATGTGTTAAATAAACTGAAATTTCTGGTCTGGTCTAAACTAGTCTTATCTGTTCTGGTGTGATTTGTTTACGTCTAAACTGGCCTCTGGTGAATGATTGGTCTAGTGTACTCTATAATTATCGAAGTCTAATTTGATCTACTTTGTTTGAGTTTAATCTAATATGTTCTATCAAATCTAATCTGAAATTGAAATCGGTCAAAATGAAAATATCCTAAAAGAACATTAAAAAGTGGGAGAAATAAAAAAGTTGTTATGGTTTTATGGATAAAATATACCCAATGGTGGTGGTTAATTCATAAAAGAACTCGTCAAAGTTTTTGACTAAAACCATAGGTTTATATACGTAGTACTCCAAAAGATGGTTACACCAAAAGATGATATATAATACGTAGATATAACAATAAACCATAATATAAACACAAAAATGTATTACAACAATAAGCACAAATATAATATGTACATATTACGTTTATATACATCAAAGTTTTTGACTAAAACCATAGGTTTATATTCAGTGGCGGAGCCAGAAAAACGGCTCAGGGGGTCGAAACTCAACCTATATAGAGAATGAAAATGTTGGATTGTTTTTAAACAACGTATGAGTTGAATATTTTATATGCAGTTTAGATAAATAGAACCTCGTAGCAATAAGATAGATTGTATTTGCATTGTTTTTGAGTCGTGTCATGTAAGTATTGAGTGAATTATACCCTATTTTTAAAATTTGGAAAAATAATCTAGATTATGCATCAAATTTTGCTGATTTTACGTTTAGATAGTGCTGATTTTCCAGAAGTCATAACTTTTTACTCGTAATAAGTTACAGGGGTCGTAATATATCAAATCAAAGATATTTCAAAGATCTATACTCTCAAATTTTCAGAGGGGTCGGCTGACCACCCTGACCCCTGGCTCCACCCCTGTTTATACTACAACAATAAGCATATAAACCATAATATAAACACAAATTAGAACTCCAAAAGATGGTGATTCTTCATGCATATTCCATGGTGGTGGTTAATTCATAAAAGAAATCGTCAAAGTTTTGATCATATCCTATATATAGTTCACAATGTTTATCGGTATTTCTCACGTGAATCCATGTCAAATTAACAGTACCAGGGCATGCCCCAGGTGTTACAGTAGTACGGAGTATATGTTAGCAAAAATGTAGTTAACTTTGTGTTTCCTAACGTCCTTTAGGAATATATTCTTGCATGTAAGCCAAACATAAAAACTATTTCTATTAGCATTTTTACCCATGTACCTTCCATTTTCCATTCCACATACATAGCCTAGCGGAACAAAATAGTAGGAAAAGAGCAACAATAGGCACACAACAGATTTTAAGATTTCTCTTCTTATACTCTTGAAGCCCATCATTCAGTTATTCAGAATACAGTATGTGCATATAGTGGATACTGACTAGAAGAATATAGTTATAAATAACATATAAGAAATCAGAAGTGCTGCAAAGTAGTTAGAAATAAGAAATGTGTGTGTGAAATGGGCAAAATGGGGTGGCAAGTTTCACATCAATGCCACAGCATCAGGTTGCTTTTGTGGAGAGGAGGCGTGGAATTCTGGTAATTCCTTGCTTGCTTGGTATATTGAATTTAGAGTAGGGAACTTCAACTGCAAATACAAACCACTCGTACCGTTAAATATACTCCGTGCATGTAAAGCAAGAGCATGAAATACAGAACATTGATAATGTGTCATTAATAACAGAGGTTTACCATATCAATTTTAAATCTTTCAGATGCAACGGCGATTTGAGGAGCCAAAAACACATCAGCCTGCAAATACTCATGCAATAGCAGCAACATAACAACAATCAGTTACAAGGTTTCCATATTTTGTATGAAGATACAACATAGTAATTGTTATTCATAACATTAAGGGAAATAATTAAGAGCAGGCATGGAGTAAGTACCAGATATAGTTGATCTCCCGTAGCATGTTTGCCTGCAAATCTGCTCAGCAACTTCTCAAGGGCTGTCCATTATGGTGTCGACCTTTTTATCAAAAGCAGTTATTGGTAGAGTAATGCTATAGGGGCCTTATTTGAGAGTATTGGGTAATTTCATACGTATGGTGTTCTGTGAGACATTTCCATTTGCCTAACCATTTGACATCAATGTGTTCCTATATTTAATTTAATACAGAGTACTACGTACTACATATATAAAATAACCTCAAGTGTTTTAGTGATTCGTGCATAATATTAATGATATATTAATATTCTTAATGATTACAACTCATTAATATGCAAAACTGCAAAAGCCAACAACTGAAACAAGCAAATAATGAATTGTGTGAGACTGTGAGTTAACATCCTATGATCAAACCTCAGAGTAATTAAAATAGGAAAATAAATGGCAATAACATACTAGTATATGAAAAAATCATATTCTAATTAAAACAATCCTATTGTGATGCTTGAGTGCTTGACACATTTAGCCGAATGTGTTTTGTGAGGGCGCTGATGCTTATGTATTTTGGGGGTATGCCCCTCTGATTTTGTGTACTACAATTTTTGTGCCAATGTATGTTTAGGGTTCTTGAAAATCATATTATAAGCTATCTACCAATAAACCTACCATAGAAACCTTTTCCAATGTTATGTTGAGCCCATGATTCTCGTTCATCAGGACCAAATCTTTCTTCAATGTAATTCTGTGCAATTGAGAACAGACAGCTCTTCATACCATGCAACTACTTGATTTCAGACGGCAGTTTCTCTTTAATAAAAAGAAACAAGTGTGATATGTAGACATACTAGCAATGAGATCATATGAAGAGGCTGTATGCTGGAGCTGACAATACTTGCAACCTGCACAAACAAAAAAAGCAGATCGTCAACTCAAAATAAAACAGACGTTGTATTATTCACTTAAAGAGGCCAAAGCGGGGCCAGGCATATATGCAGAACTTCAACCATTGATCTCATGTTGATAAAATATTAAAAAGAAAACATATAAAAGGGAAAACTGTCAAATAGGTCCTCAAACTTTCATAAAAAAGTCAATTAAGTCCTTCTATAGGAGACTCTGTCCGGTCGTCGCGATTTGGGGCGGTTCCCGATCGAATTTTTTGATGAAATTTTTAAGCATCTTATTCATCAAGTCTAGTTTACTCATACCAAATTTCAGCTAAAAATTTAATCGGGAGCGCATTCAAATTAATTCGAGAACGCAAAAATGCGCAGTTATCTTCAAGAATTAATTTGAATGGGTTCCCGATTGAATTTTTAGCTGAAATTTGGTATGAGTAAACTAGACTTGGTGAATAAGATGCTCAAAAAAATTCATCAAAAAATTCCACCGGGAACTAACCCAAATCGCGACGGCCAGACAGAACCTCCTATAGAAGGACTTAATTGATCTTTTTATGAAAGTTCGAGGACCTATTTGACAGTTTTCCCCATATAAAATATTGCATTAATTCCACATTTTAGGTTAACACCCCAAATCTTAATAGAGCTTAATACACAATGTCACGATTAAGTCAAAGCTGACCTGAAGATTAATAGCTCGTAGTTGAGGATTCAAAGGCAATAACTGACATTTTGGATACTTCTCCTCCAAATACTAAATAAAATAACAATAACAAATGAATTCCGCACTTTTTGGTAAAACACTAGGAATTGCAATCAAAGTTCATCATAGAGACAGTAAAATAGACAACATCCAGAACTCAAAAGTTAGGACCACTAACCAATAAAATTGCATAGGAATCTGAAATCACTGTATGACCACTATCAATCAACACGGGGACATATCGAAGAGGATTTAGCTTCTCAAACTCTGCAATTTAGCTATTCATACATTATCTTCTTAAGCTACAAAAATAAATCACCAAAGATAAAGGGTTTTCTTGGAAGCCTTAACATACTGGTACTGGGACTTAAAACGGAGAGGAAAGAGATGGAAATATGTGAAAAAAGGATAGACTCAAACTGAATGACTTTATTTTAGATATTTGATCAAACTCAGTTTATTCAGCTAATTCTATAAATAAGCTAAGAAATTTAATTACGTAATATATGAAAGAAATAGGTTACTCCATCCAATCCAAATTAGCAGTCATGCTCAGATAATGAGAAAGGATGATGCTAGATCTCATTACATACTATTTTAATTAATATTATTAATTAAAGTTCCTAGAAACTGCACTAAAATCTCTTTTAAATCAAAAAACCAAATTTGAATACAGCAAAATTTTGGCATCTAAAATTAGAAATTAAAAGAGAGTTAAATTGACGGCTGGGTAGTGACTGAAACAAGTCATTATTGGAGCTGAGTACAAAACAATTGTCATCATATTTCATTTTCAAAGTTGAACCTAATAAAATAATTGAAAGCTCTTTCCCAATCCATGGCAAAATATGTACTAGTTTAATTTAACAATTCATTGGATTAGCTCTACACAAACAATTCTTCTGTGTGATTCTTGTTTCATTGTTTATGAAATTCTTTAAGCTAGTGCTTGGATTCAAGGATTTGATTTTATGGAATTCAATTGTTGAATTGAATATATATATTGGAAATCAAATTCCACATAGCTCTCAAGGCATTCAATTTCTTGAGTCAGATCCAGGATTTCAAATACAAATTTGGCATCCAAACAAAACCTAATTCTTATTCACGAAAGCACTGTCGTTTTACACTTACCGGGATCAAATTGTTCTCTTTTGCTGAGATCGACTGCTCTGTATTCATAAGAGAGCCCTGCTTGCACCTCAATCAACAAGAAAACCGTCAATGTCAACATAACTAAAAAGATGTACAAAATCATTGACCAAAACTGTTGTCAACAACATACCCTTGAGATTTAAGGCGAAACGGACACGCCAAGAACACGAGCTCTGCCAGTATGAATACAATACAAGCTTTGAAGGTGAATCGCTTGGCTGAGAAGAAGCATCTTCTACTTCTCCGCTGTATGGGCCACTCGAGAACATTCTAGAATTCCTCCAAAATAGTGGGGAAATTCGACTGTAAGAACTATAGCGCATTGACGTGAAATGGTCAAGCCTGTGAAAGAACAGTAGTGGTGAAAACTTTGACGGAGAAGCCATTCTTGTAGTTGAGACAGAGAGGTAGCTAATTAGCGGTTGTACATTGAGGTTAGCTAAACTACTAACATCTTGCTGGGGGATTTGGATCCTCTTCATTAAGTGGAGAGTTCAATTAGAAGAGAGATAGAGGGAAATGATCTATAGGAAATGGGGTAATTATCAAAATAGGACTAAAAGTCATTCACTTTTCACAAATAGAACCAAAAAATAAACTATGTTCGCATAGGACTAATTATGTATACCTTGGACAATTATACCCTTATAGCTATTAAAATGTTTTAATTCCTAATAAAATAATAATAAAAATTCGTAAAAAATACTAAAAAATTAAGAAAAACATTTCGATATTAAAAATTTAATTAATCTTTTTTTCAAAAAATTAAAAAAATAAAAAAAAAAAAAAAAAAAAACTCAAAAAAACAATCGCCGCCGCCTCTGCCGCCTCAGCAGCACCACCTCCAGTCACCAGGGGAAAAAAATGCCAAGTTCATTACGAATGCCATATTTATGACAGAAAAAAATGAAAATGTTGACATTCGAAAAGAGAAATATGCCACTTTTTTTGCATTTTCAGAAAAAAATGGCATTTTTCTGGGAAAATGGCATTTTTTTCATTGGCTGGAGGTGGTGGTGCTGAGAGGTAGTACAGGCGGTGGGAAAGGCATCCATATTTTTTTAATTTTTTTTTACGGAATTTTACTATTTTTTATTAATTTTTTTAAAAATAAAATTATTTAAAAAAAAAAGTTTTTGAATTTTTTATTTTATAAAAATTTTAGAAATTTTATAATTATATTTCTACGAATTTTTGAATTTTTTTCGAATTCATTATGAAATAAACATTTAATTATGGCTTTTGACTATTTTTAATTCATATTTAATGGAAGGGTAAGAATGGAATGCAAAAATAGGTATGTTTCCAATAGGACTCATATGATCCTATTTTGGAATAAAAACATAGCAAGTCCTATTTTAGGTTTTTGCCATAGTTTTAGTCATATTTGAACTAATTTCTAATAGGAAATAAAAAGGAAATGGAAGGAAAATAGAGGGAAAATGGAGAGAAACTTCATCTAAAAGGATAGCCAAACTTGAGAGAGAAATAGGAGTCCCAAATTTATTAATTAAAAGGGAAGTGTCAAAGTTTTTGGAACAAACAAAAAAGAAAAGTTGTCAAAGTTATAAAGAACGGAAGGAGTATATTTTTTGAACATTTTAAAACAATACAACTATTCTTTACATTTAAGTATTTAATCTAGTTTTTTTTAAATAGAGTATTTTCAAATTATATATTTGCTTCATTGAAGAATTTCCGAAGACTATTCATTAACTTTGTTTCAATTTCAAATCAGACCAAATGAAATCTAATCATATCCATTTTAAATAGATTAGATTAGACCACATTTTAGTCCAATTAAAAGGTGCACTTCCATAGACCAGTTTTTTCGTAGACCATTTTGTTATGCATATTATAGATTATTGTGATATTTATACTAATTTCTATAACCATATAAATTGTCGTCTAGGAGTTTATATTTCTTAAAGAGTATAAAAAAGAAAAGCACTGAATTTTTTTACCAAAAAAATTTCGGTGGAAAAGAAAACAAAAAAAAATCTACGTTAATATCAGAAAATTAGATTAAAAGTTGGGCTAATCTAGTTATTTTAAATAGTCTTTTTAAATTATATATTTGCTTCATTAAAGTATTTCCGAAGACTATTCATCAACTTTGTTGAGTTCGGTCATATTACTAAACACTTTTTTAATAAAAAAAAGGTAGAGCACGACCATGGACAGTAAACGGCTAGCATTTTCTCCGTTTTAAGAATCAGGCGGGAAAAGCTATAGAAACTTCCATAAGCATTTACTATAAATAGGGGTGGATTCGGGCCAGGTCAGATCCGGGTCTGAATAGGTGGACCCAGGACCGGCCCGAGTAGCCACCGGGTCCGGTCCGGGACATGCCTCGGGCTTGTTTTTTTTTTTTTGCTTACCTACCTATCCCTGACCCCCCCGACCCCCCACCCCCCCAAACCCCCCAAACCCCTCCTACACATCAAGCCCAACCCAAACCGAGCCCAAACAAATGAAAAAAAAACAAAAAAAAAACAATTTGGCCCGAATCGGGCCCAGCCGGGCTGGGCCAGGCCTTGTTTTGGGTGACCCGAGCCCAGACCGGAAACCCCTCGGGTCGGGCCTACCCGGACCGGTCACTGACCGGGCCACCGGTTCAGGCCAGACCGAAACAGTACCAGTCCCGGGCCACCCGGCCCGAGTCCACCACTAACTATAAGTTGCATAGGGTTTATGGTAGAAATTTACAGTACAATTTAACCTTCTAAAGAAAAGATGTCTTTCTGGGTGTGTTTTGTCTGCATCTTTTCTTTCATATTTCCGATCCCAATCCGCTTATTGATTTTCATTTTTTACTAGGTTTTTTAATGAATTTTAGGAACTGAAGTTAAACCTGGAAAACCTGACACGAGGAAGGCTTCGGATTTCTCAGGTAATCTCCTTTTTTATTTTCCTATTTCTGGTGCCCTCCCGAATCAATTCGAATATTTTGTTTAATCAAGCATAAATTCAAGTTCAAATATTCAATGAGTGTAATCATCATGTGTTCAATAATCAATATCCTTAGGCAACACTGGGTATTGGTAGTGCAATTTGTTTGGACCAGAATGACTTTGATAACCTTGCACAGAGCCCTTAGAAAAAGCTTAGCATTCTAAACAAAAACTTGTTCTATCCATACTAGCACTCTAAAGTCTACACATGCATTGGTGTCGCTACTCATCGAGCAAAACCCTATGGGAGTCCTAAAACAGGTTACTAATCATCCTATTAGTACTTTCCACCCAAGTATATACTTATGATATCTTGACCCTGTTTCTGTTCCGCTATCACAGCCTCTCCTTTCGGCATTGGTTTATTCATAAAGCTGCTGGCCTCTCCTTTCAGCATTGGTTTAGTCATAAAGCTGCTGGCCTCACTCTCCAAAACATCACTGTGGATGAACAAAGCAGAGACGCTCAGAGTGGTTATGGAAATGGACTATACATAAGACTTAAGTATGTCTCTGGTCCTTACAAATGTGATGTTTTTTTGCTTTACACCTGATTAAGATAATAAATACCAGTGAAAGAAACTGGTGTTCTAAATTCAGACCTGTCGGGGGCTTCTATCTTGGTAATCAAAGTGATTCCACGAGATATAACATGGTCACAAAAATTACTGATATCTTTTCCTTTGCAGAATTTATATAGATCACGTAGCACATCGTTGAACTGCTTTGGCTCCTGTATAGACAAAAAGGTCACTCAAGCAAAAATGTTGCCTGTCATCTTTTGTGCCCGTTTGGAACCTCATAAAATGCTATGGGAAGATATATGAAGAGAAGTGTGGGAGAAATTTGACCAAAAGAAGATGGAAGGGAATAAAAATTGGTTTGGACTCGATAAATTTACTTTTGGCATTCAATGAGACTCAAATCTAAACATACGGAAAAGTATTTTAGAATAATCACATTCTATTTCCTTTTGCAAATTCCTATGTAAAGCCTAACACAAGAAAATAACTTTCCTTCACATATATTCTCCGTTGGTTAGCATTTCCCAGGATCCAAACACAACCTTAAATTGTTGGAGGAAAGGAGATTTAGCATATACCTGTTCTAGGATGCAACCGTTACGTAGAGCAACTAAACATTCCAATGCTTTCTCATATGTGTCCCCTTCAAAAGAGTCCTCCACCAGATTAAAAATTTTATTTTTCATTTCCTGAATTGCCTTATTAACCCATTTTGGGCTGTCTCTTCGAGATATCATGTCTTCAAAATCTTTAACAGGATTTTCGTCTCCTATTTTTTCAGTTTTAATTTTATTAACTGCTTGGTCATCAGTGGGTTCGCTGAAACCTCTTCCCTCTTCCTCATCTGGTCCGCTTATGTTATTTCTTAACAATCTTCTTGTTGATTTCTTCATCTGCACGAAAAGCATGTACAGTTAATTTTCTATCCCAAAAAAGGATCCTGTTTGATGTAAACATTTCCTTTATATTTAATGTAACTTTTGAAAACCAAGTGTCCACACAAGTTTGTTTTAACAAAATTTTGTTTGAGTGCTTAGTTTTTACTTTCTAGGGACTATCAAATTAATTTAGTTAAGCATCTTATATTTAGTTAACCAATCAATGAATTTTATAGTATGTATGTAATTGACGATTTTCCGGTAACAATTGTTAGTTACATTGGTAAACACGACTCTTCAATGGGACGGAGTGACTAGTATAATATGAAAGAAAATCCAATTATATCAAGTACGACCCTGCCCATCAAATTACCATGGGGTTCTCCTTCAGTTCGAAACACTTTCTGAATTCATCAATTGTGGTCTTGTTTTGAGAAAGAAGATCAGGATCGGGATCTGTTATCCTCCTCAGTGATTCATGGAGTGGAGGAACAACAGCATCTGGATGCTTTGACTTCAATTCAAGATAGTGATAATACCTCTGAAGATTTCAGAACAATATTGAGACTAATCACATACATGAAGGAAAAAAAATGAACTTACGTTAAGGAAAATATGATGGATCATATGGAAGCATCTTTTATAAATGCATAGTAATACAGTAATACGGAGTACTAGAGGAACACCTCATGGGTTACACACCCCTATGATATTAAACCCACACCCCTATGAAATTAATATCATTGTTATTATTGCTGTTATTTTATCATTAACTCAATAGAGCTACATTATTGATGGAAGGGTCGAATTATAATTTCATGCAACTCTAACCCATGAGGTAATAACCTATGATAAGATAGAATAGATCATATTACAGAAAAAAGATGGGTTAATCCTATCCCATAATCTAAGAAAAATTTGTGTTTGGGATGACTTTTAGGAAAACAAAGGAGATAGTAGTTACTTTACAATTGTAGCCATTTAAAAAGACGAAAATGTAGTATGAGTGCCACAAAACGTAAAACGTGAAGTGGTAGATAAGAGACCATAATTATGAAGGACAAAAAGGATAGTGTACACATCAAAACCGGACAGGAGTAATTGTTTTGTGTTCTTAAAATAATAATAATATAATATTCCAAGTTTACCCTCTTTAATATGCCATGTAAGTGGTTGTTTTAAAAAAAGAAACACAAAAACGATATCTGTCAGTGACTAACCACAAAAAAACAATTAGCCATTCATAGAAAAAAAGTACCATTGTCGTATAAATATAATGACCAGAAAAAGTATTTGGATTTCATGTGTGACAGACTGTCTGACTAGATACCTGTAATACAGGATTAGGTGTGAGCTCGGGCAGCAAAGCTTCCTGACCATCAGCTGGTGCAAGGTTGAGCATTTTTACAAGATTATCCGTCGCCTCCTGCTGTTCTTCATTTGGAAGCATTCCTGAAGGAAAATTGCTGAATGACGGAAACTGAAACTCCCTTACATCCTCAGCGAATGGGAGGACATTGAAGTAGAATGAATCCGGCTGTGATGATCCAGAACCCCAGATTAAACAAGAAACCCAATAAAAACCCATCGATATATTTCTTTAAAAAGGAAATCTAAACGAATGATGCATTCACACTTACAACATTGTCCTTGAGAGATACATGAGGAGTAAGGACTCCTATAACCACATTTCCCTGCCCTTGCCTCCATACACAACGCACAATCGCCACTCTGTTCATATCTTTCATTGCCCTTGCCAAAGCAGAGACTGCAAGAATGGCTTTTGAATTCCCCGGTTCAGCTATGAACACATTTGCATCTTTCATATAGTAGTGCCTTTTTGGGTAGTAGAAGATGGAACGTGAAAGAAAAAATTAATAATTCAAAGGGCAAAAGTCTAATTAAATGTCAGCCCAAATTATATACTTTGAAAAAGTATCACAACTGATTCCTATACTTTGAAAAAGTAAATATAGATATACTCTTCTTCGCGTATCTAAAACTTGAAAAAACTTGGTATAAGATAAGGTCTAAAATGAATTGAAACGAAAAAAACACAAAAAGCAATCAGAGCATATTTGTTCTATATATACAAATATGAATTGGGCGAATACTCATGCAAATCCAATTCAATGCAGCCTGAAACCATTAGAGTCATTGTCTGTGACTTCCCTCAAGATACATTAGCATTCCCCACGTTGATAAATGTATGCAAACACACCCATGGAAAGTGTGTCATTGATCTCCCTTAAAAAGGAGGAAATGCCTAATTTATTTATTTTAATACTGTGGGGATCTTTGTGATAATACGCTAAACCTTGAGGGAGATGACTGATAGTAACCCTTTATTACCGCATTATATTTGAAGAGTCTGTAAATCCAAGAAGCTTCACGCCTTTCTCTGGTTTGAACTTCACAGCCTCCCATTCAGCAGAGGATATGGGAACTACTTGAGGTCCATATCGGTAACCTTTGATCCTATGTTCTGGCGGAACAACTCTGTTTTGGTCTTGAGTGTGCTTATATTCATAATCAATCTTAACTTCATGCTTAGCAAACTTGTCAGTGTGATGCGCTTTATCAGAATACATTTTTAGTGTGGGAAATCTCTCTTCCGCTGTTTTCTTATACACCCATACCTATCAGACAGCAAAGGAAAAAACAATATAAGGTTCCATGTGGTAACTAAAAGTGCCTTATTCTACTTCTGCTCACAAGAAAAATACAGAACAATAAGATTCAGTAGTTCTTTACTTATTTAAATGAAATGGGAGTTACCAAACACTTCTCCAGTTAGAAAGTTGGGCAGATTCAACCATTCCTTCCAAATGAACCTTACCAAATGGACTTTGAGTAACAGAGTGGTACTTTGATGATAAACAACAAAACATGAAAAATGAAAAGGCAAATAAAATAAAATCAGAAGTGGCTCAAAACTTGGACCCACGTCTTAATCTCACCTTGATCTTCAATTTGGAACTGATTTCAAAATCGCCTCTATATGTTGTGACAGGAGAAATATTACGAGTTCTTACTGCGCCCAACAGTGAAGTTGCACTTTCAACATAAACTGTTTTTGAGGAAGACTTCTTTGAAAATACAGACAAAAGAAAATCATTTTCTTCCATTATCTTTTTTGCATCCAGATGTTTTCTCATTCTAACAACAACAGAGTCCATTTTCATGCCATACGCTTTCATTTGAGATGCAATTGTGCTGACTTGATCTTCCTTTGTTCCTTCGTATGGATCTTTAATTGGGCATATTGCATTTGTGATGAGGCAGAGACGCTTCTTTCCTTTGTTGGTTTCTGCATATTTCTTGATCACCATGTCCATCCCAACAATAACGGCATCAAGAACTCATCAAGAATGTTAAGGTTTTCAAAACCAAGGTACCATTCAATGAACAGCAAACCACATTAGATGCATCATAATATTTGTTCAGCAAACCTCATTTAAACAACTTCTATCTCCTCATACACAGGCTGTTTTAGAAGAGAAAACATTACGGGCGGTTTGGAGCTCAAAAAATGTTAGGGAAAGACAAAAGGAACGACATTTGGAAGGATTAAAAATGTGAGGGGAAATTAAATATCAGATCAATAATACATAAAATATATCACAAAAAAACTCTAATGCATCAACTTTAGATATTAGTTGAAACTCATTTTATTTAAATATTTCTGTTACATAAGACTAGGAAATTTAAATATGTACTCAAATATTTAAAAGTTCTAACTAAAATTGATTAGCCTCTGTAATTTTAGAAAATCATTTTACTAGTTTTTCTTCCTTCAATGACATGTTTCCAAGTTCCAAACATAGCTTTAAACAGTAGATGCAAACTTAAATGCATATTATGCATGCACAGGATACAATCACCTCTAAAGCTTCCTCGAGGAAGATGTTCTACAGCTCCAACAAGATCATCATCAACAACTTTGATACTCCTCAAAACAGTCACATGTTCATATCCTCCCACTTCTTTTGTCAATTCATTTGCAGTCTCTGAGACAATGGCAGAAAATATTCTAATACCAAGATAACAATAGCATCCAATGATGGAAACAAAGTACAAACGGATAGTAATAATAATAATAACAACAATAATATGAATAATATTACTTATGTAAATATAAATATTGAAAACTATAGATACCTGTAGTGCCAAATAAAATAACTCCCACTTCATCATACTTGCTATAGACCATCTATATACAACAAGTGCGCGCAAAGATTAGCGGAACAGCTTTACAAGAGGGAGTACTAAAAAGGTAAAATAGGAACCTTGATAAGAAATAAGAAGCGCAAGTACCTTCTTTTGCACTAACAATGCGCAAACCTTCTCTATTTCGGGAAGAACAGAATGCATAGAAGGACCCACATCGATGACCAATACCAAACCCTCCTGTTTGAGTTCAGAAAATTCATAACTCAAGTTGCATACGACGAATAATAGACGTGACTGTGAATAGAGGTATCGACTACTGAGCAAAAAGAAGAGAAATGAAACAACGAAAAAAGATGAAGGAACACGAGAGAAACTTGCCTTATTTCGGGCCATTTCAAGAAAATTCTATCTTCCTTGAGTTGACAGAAGAAGTGATTTAGTGATGTGCAGTTCTTGTTCTCTCCAGGAGCCTAGTTTGCCAGACCACTAAGATAACGACGATACAATACTCTACGGGAATTCTTTTGGCTTTGCATTTTTCTGGGATAAATGGAAAGGATGGTTAACAGGCATGACACTACTTGGAGAGCAAAAAGGATTTTAGAAAATAGAAATATATTTTTAACGTAAAGAGCCAGTTTGGAAGCTCATTTTTTCGCTTATCAATGCTTATCACCGTTTTTTCCAATCTTAATTTTTTATTTCACGCGTTAAATTTCATAATAATAAGAAAAAGTAAAGTTGTAATTACTTTTCTGGCTGTATTGGTTGAAATTACTGTAGAGTATCATTTTAGCTACTTTTTCATATAATTTTTTATTTTATTTATTAATAACAAATATTTTAAATATAATTTTTTCATAAATCAGCAAAATCAGCCAATACAACCACTTTAGCCATAACTTCATAATTCATAAATTTCAGCAGAATCGACCAATTCAGCTCATTTCAGTGTTACCAAACGGACTCAAAATCTTTGAGCTTCTGCACGCCAATTTGGGATATAGCCCTCTAATTTTAGTGTAAGCTAAACAAAAAAAGTCAAAAGTTCATTGTAATTTTAGTGTAAGCTAATTTTTTTAGTGTAAGTAAACAAGTCAAAAGAAGTTGAAGTAATTTTATCTTTTGTATTCGGCTTACTTTCTCCTCCTCGATACTCTTCACTTCTTCCGTATTACAAATGATTCATTTTTCATTGAGTTATCACTTCCACTAGTATATTACACCTACGATGCACGAGAGAAATTTAATTTGACATATATAACATAGAATAAGTTGTCATGAATTAATAATATAAATCACAAAATATCCAATTAAAAGAACTCCAATTTATATCAAATGGAGGTAAGAAACTGGGAAGCGAAGAAAATAAGTACATTAAAATATAAAAATTATGAGTGTTTTACAAATTCTGAAAGATTTCATGAAATACAACATTCGTTGTTACGTTAGAACTTCTACCTTCCTTGTCACATATAAGAATCTTCAAACCACGGGGATCAGTTACATGCGAAAGAGCAACATATGATTGACCATGACTAAAAACAGGTTTGCGCAAAAATAATCCAACATTAGATAAAGATTGACCCTCCTCTGGAGCTTGAAAGGCAAACTCACATCTGACGGTGTCAAAGACATTCTAGGTATTAACACTTTTTGACCTGCACTTATTCCCGCCAAAACTTTTGCTTCCAAAATATAATGCCCTGTTAGAAAATGGTTTTACAGATTAATATTATGGTCATTAGTATTATTTGTAAAAAAAAAAACAAAAAACCATTTCGAAATGAATGAGAAATTATTCCCCGTAAGATAAGCGTGGAACTATATTTAACACGAACACATTGCCGCCGTCGGTCGGGTCGGATCGGGTTCGGGTTTGTGACCAGTCAACAATCGGGCTAAAGATAGGAAGATTTATTTTGCTATATTTTCGGATAAAATTAAACAGAAGAGACAACTATTCTATTTCAAAGAAAGGTCATGAACTTTCTTTTAAGAGGTGTCTTTTGGGTTAGAGACTCTTGGCCAAAGCTAGCTCTATAAATACCCTCTCAATCTCTTGTTTTGGTATATCTGAAAATCTACACACAATCCTCCCTATTCTCTTCCTTCGTTGCATCTTTGAGTTCGCCGGAATCCCGTTGGGAGCGAAGAACCATTCTATCCTGGGCAAAAATGTCTTAAGGAAACAACGCTTACGTTGGGCTCGGTTACAAGTAATTTTACGCTTTTCCTTAACTAATTTATTTTTTTTTTATTTCATTTGCATGCAGAATATTAGTACACACATATAACATGCCCGATCTAGTGATAACCATCCTAGTTCCATTGCACAAACCTTGGGAATTGTCTATATTTCTCATTAGCATAACCGGTGTCCCAACTTTAAGATGCAATTGGTGATTTGGAACTTCTGAAGCTTTAATTCCATTTAAGAACTCTGGAGTGTGAGTATCAGTCAAGAAATCAAGATTTGCACCTGGCTGACATTGACTATCAGAACTTAAATATGTTTTCAACTCAATACCATTTAATGTGAGCGTATAATCGTTGATGGAATCAACAACATCGAGGGTTGGTTCCAATATTGCTCTTTTTTTCAAATAACGGGGATCATGATCAACAGTTCCAAAAGCAGGATAAATGCATTCAACCATTTTAGCTATTGGATCTTCAAAATCTATAATCAACAAACCCTTAGGAATCTCAATCTCTGCAAAACCATCATTTGGGCCTCCAATTGTACTATCTCTAATGCTTGCTATCCATTCGGAAAACTTAATCAAATATTCTGATTGATCACTGCCTGGCAAATGAAGAAGCCTCAAGTTTTTGTTAAACGCATCACACTTGCATGTTGCCACAAATAAGAAGAGTTTATGGATGCACTAACTATGTCTTGCCTCCTTCCTTTCAGTATGACATGAAGGATCTCCCTAAAATCGCCATCAAACACCACAATTTTTCTTCCAAAGGGCATTTGTAAACTTGAAGGATTGCTAAATCGCAAAATATCTTGGAGTGTCCGATCTAAAGCCTCAAAGCAATAATTGTGTACCATTGGTGCTTCATCCCATATTATAAGCTTACACTTGATAAGAAGTTCAGCAAGTGCGCTTCCTTGTTTTACATTGCACGTAGAATCTTCATTGGGATTAATCGAGATCTTGAAGCGAGAATGTGCAGTTCTACCACCCAGCAGCAGAAATGAGGTGATACCATTTGATGCAACATTCAATACAATTTCCCCTTTCGAACGTATAGATGCAGAAAGAGTATTCCATACAAAAGTTTTCCCTATTCCTCCATATCTATACACAAATAAGACTCCACCACTATCAACATCAATAGCCTTGATTAAAGTATCATAGACAACTCTTTGCTCAGTAGTCAAATTACCTAGGAAATTTGCATGCTCCTCGGCCAACTTTTTTGCGATCATACCTTAGCTCACCATGGTGTTATATTCATCCTAACTCCTTCCGCAACTGCGCAACAATTTTTGAATTTCAAACAAAGTAAGGTTCTTCACCTCATCTTCAATCAACGTAAGATCTACAAAAATTGAACACATTCACTATATTAAAAAATTTACAATATTAATTATTATCAACACAAAAATAAACTAAGAAAAAAAGTACCTGGATGATTGAGCATTAAACGTTGCTCGTAAAGAATATCTTCAGATAAAAAAGTCCATCACTTCTCCCAAACCTCTTCTGGTCCACTCAAGTAATCAGCAATTAATAAACCAACAAAAAGTTTGCGCAAAAGATGTGCACTTTGTCAAGCCCCAGATCGCATCTAAGCGCGTGTACAACCGTCGTATGACCAAGTGACATCACTCGCAAGTCAACGTGACTTAATCACACAAAGCATCCATGAACATAATTCATCCATACTCAGTAGTAAACATACATAACAACATCACATTTAAACCAGTGAATAGTGGAAAAATTCAACGGTAAAGCGTGGGTCACAACCGGCCAAAACATGGGCTCACAGGTCCAAAATAGTTTATAGTGAATCAAATATCCATGAGCAAGTGTTTGGTAGTTTGAAAGGAAATAAGGAAGCACGAACCACGTTTTCCTTGAGTTCACCCATAAGAACGTGCAGGTAGCAAGCCCTAGCTCCCAACTGAAAATGGTGGGGGGCCCGAAGGGGTCAGTACAAGTATCAAGCGAGTAGCAAGCTAAATGTAGCATAACTAACGTTTTAAGTATAAGACCCAAACATAGGGTGATACATATACGTATAATCCTTTCCCTCAAGTTATGAAATAGATATCAGTATATATACACTTGGAAATACCCGACCCGTAGGTCATTGTTTATTTGGGAAAACCGTAGTAGTCGGTATCTTTGACTTAAATCCCAACCCACTCATATACCTATGAGTGTATAGGACTCCTCCTGGTCCTAATCAATTCATATTCCGAGTTTTTGAGGACAATACCATCGTCTTTGGGTTCTCCACCATTTATACATGTGTTTTGAGGACAATACCGTCGTCATTGGGTCTCCACCATTTATATACCGAGGTTTGAGGACAGCACTGTCGTCCTTGGGTCTCCACCATTTATACATTTGAGTTTTGAGGACAGTACCGTCGTCCCTAGGTTCTCCACCATCTAAACATATGAGTTTTTAGGACAGTACCATCATCCTTGGGTTCTCCACCGTTTATCTACCGAGTTTTGAGGATACACGACCGATCCTTGGGTACTTCACCTGACCTATGACTTACCACATATCAAACTAGATAGGGTCTATATCATATTATCAATAAAGACTAAACCAAGTCTTAGAGTTTAATCATTAGATATCAAACTTGACATTTAAATATCATATTCCATGCAATTCCATGCACAATATACTTATATAGGATGGCCGGGGTGAATCCCCCCTCAAACCGGGCCCCGATACGTGTTTTCAGTGAAAACGAAAATTGGAGGTAGTAGCTTAACCGGCACCGGTTATACCCTATAACTGGTGCCGGTTATGTGTCGATTTTCCCAGACTGGCCAGGCAGTAGCATAACCGGCACCGGTTCGGCCCTATGGCCGGCGTCGGTTCACTGTCTGCCTAACGGCGGCGGTCCATTGACCCCCCAGATGACCTCCGATTGGTCCAAAACTTTTATACAACATATATTAGGTCTCAAACAACCATAATATCTCATTTTAACCATCCAAAAACATCACATATGTTTTTATACACATTTTATACTTTTAACATGCATAATCATGTAATATCATTCACATAAGCCTAATTACCTCGGCAATTCACATGCTTAAACTCCTTTAAAAATCATTATGAATACTTGTAACATTTCTTTAGGTAATCTCATACTTAACCCAAGAGTTACAAGACATTAAGCCATCCACTCACCTCGAATGAGCTTTATGAAGTTCTACCCTTCTCGGTTGAACTCCAGCGAATCTCCGACGAACTTTGACAAGCTCCGGTGACAACTCCGGTGAATCTTTCAACTCCGTGAAAGCTCTAGGAACTCCTTAGAAAAGTTCCTAACAA